GCTTTCCCAGAGCCCTCTGAGGCCGTCTTGCAGCCCTCTTGGACAGTCTAGCGCCTCTGTTGGAACTTCTTGGAGTCATCTTGAGACTCTAGCACTAGGGCCGTCTTGGGGGCCGTCTTAGAGGCCGTCTTGGAGCATCCCAGGGGCGCGCTGGCGCCGGCTCGGCCGATATTTAACCACATTGGCGCCCAGCTTTCCTGCACGCGGGCCCCCCAACCTTAGAAGCGAAGACAGCGAAGACGTCGGGCTGCACCGCCTCCTCCCGCATCTCTCTGAGCAACGCCAACGCCCGCTGCCACTGCTCGCCCTTCTCGCACGCGCTGATCCCAGCGCTGTAGCTGACTAGGGCTGACCCGTGGACTCCGGTCACGATCAGCGCACAGGCGGCTGCTCGACGGCCCTCTGGCAGACACGCGGTCACATTTCGTTGCGACTCGTGACCTGTGGGTTCCCATCTACGCATCTCTCATGCCCTCTCGCGCTTCGCCGCCGAACGATCGCCACAAACATCTCAGATCGCCTCAGTCGCGTGCGACTCTTGGCTACCGAGCTCCTGCATGTGGTTTTTCCTTCCCTCCTTCCACTTGCAACACAGGAGTGGCCACACTTCGTTGCGATACCCGCTCTGCCAACTCTGTCGAGCCTGTGATCTGCTTCGCGCCTCTCGTCTGCCCCCCTCTCATACTGCTGAAGCCACTCAGGCCTCCTGGGGGCCGTTTGGGAGCCTCTTGGGGCTTCTCTTCGGCTTCCTGAAGGCCTGCCTCTTGGGGCCGTCTTGGCTGCCTCTTGGGCCGGGTTGGGGCCGTTTGGGATCCGCGTGGGTGCCTCTTGGGCCGTCTTGGGGCGGTCCTGGGCCGTCTTGGGTCTCTCTTGGGGGTGTCTTGAGTGCCTCTTGGGCCGTCTTGGGCACCTATTGGGCCGTCGTGGGCTGTCTTGGGCGCCTCTTGGACCGTCTTGGGGCTGTTTTGGGCCGTCTTGGGCGGCTCTTGGAGCTGTATTGGGTGCCTCTTGGGTCTTCTTGGGCTCCTCTTGGACCGTCCTGGTGCCGTCTTGGATCGTCTTGAGGCCCTCACGGAGACGAGAAGGACAATAATGGCCAAAATGTATACTTTCCGAATGGAATGTGGCGATTTGTGCGGGGGCTCTCCTGGGGAGACGCCCAGGGCCGTCTTGGGAGCCTCCTGGCCTGCCTTGGGGGCCTCCAGGACCGTCGGGGCGGCCTCTTGAGCGGGTCGGAGCCGTCTTGGGGCCGTCCTGGGCCCTCTAGCCTCCGTGGGGAGGTCCTCCGAGGCCGTCGTGGAGCGCCTCGGGGCCGCCCAGGAGCGCGCTGGGCCCCGCCGGAGGTCCACTGACGTTTGAATTTTTTCCTTCCGGCGCGCGCTTCTGCCCGCCATGTAGGAGAGATGACGTTGGGCTCCACCTTTGACTCCCACAACTCACTGAGCAACGACAATGCTTGCTGCCACTGTTCGCCCTTCCTGCATGCGCTGACAGTCGCAATGTAGTCTCTTGGGGCGATTTTCACACCTGATTGAATTCTTCCGCGGAGCAACTGCAGTGCTGCCTTCCATTCTGTCCGATCGCGCTTCTTGTGTGTCACGTCGAAGGGCACGCCGCCTTGTCGAGACACTCGCCGGATCTCTAACATCGATCATCCAAAGAGGGGTGGCACCACATCGGCTTGAGGACAATTCGAGGCCGGACTGGTATCCTTCGGATCCTGAGTCTGTTCATGAAGGTTACGATCCAGACGGCGAACATTGCGAACCTCCGTATAGTGATCCAAATTTCCTTTGGGCTGGGTCACGCCTCTCTTTCTGCAGCGCGGCGCGTCTCACCCACCGCCTCCCCCTCCTCCCTCCCTTCCCTCCTTCCTGCATCTGCGAGCCGCTGCCTCTGCGTCTGCTGCGGTACGGTGCCACTCTGCCATGCCAGACACCCCGACGCCATGTTTTTTTTTCCCATCACGTGGGCCTCCAGAGGTCCGGACCCCTCCCCAGGGGCCAGTCTTTCGTCCCGAATCCCGCAATCCGGTAAGGGCCCCAGGACCCTGGATGCCCAAAATCGCAACAAAACGACGCGAGGGCCACTGGGATCGTTTCTGCTGCACCGTTGCCAATAAAAAGAAGCAACGGCATAACCATTAAACTTTTGGCGCTCCGCGCGGATCTCTTGGATCTGCGCTGGGCCCCCCTCCCTGACGCGCCTCCGGCGCCAGGGGTGGCGCCAGAGGTGCCGCCAGGGGGGCCCAGCGCGAATCAAAGCAATCCGCGCCGAGCGCCAAAAGCTTTTGTTTATGGCGTATTTATTCTTCGAACCATTTCGAAACCGTCGGGTCAAAACCGCCACCGCAGCAGCTCCTGCATGACCCCCCGACGCCAGCGCTGGTCCCAGCGCAGATCACGAAATTCGCGCGGAGCGCCAAAAGTTTATTTTGATGTATGGCGTTTCTTGGGACGCACAGAGACATAATACTTTATGTCCTCCTTGGAGGCGCGCGTCCGACCCGAACATATTGTATAACCATCTTGTAGTATATAATTTCCCGAGCGGTGTGGCCAGAAAGCGCCAGCCACGACGAACAAACTATAAGACTTCTCGATGCGCGCATCGCCCCTGGGGGGGCGACGAACACATAGTATTAGTATTTGGGTTGGTGGAAATATATGTCGGTCACCTTGGAAACCTGATTTTTACCACCATCGCCGAGATCGGCATCTTCTTCACTCGGTGGAGGCACACCGCCGATACGCAGTGGTGCTGGTGTGGACCTCTGACCCTGCGATTCTTCTTCTTCTTCTTCTTCGAATCTAGGGGAACAAAAAGTGGCATAAACATAAAAACTCGGAGGTCCGCGCGGATGTCTCGGATCGGCGCTGGACCCCCCTCCCTGGCGCGCGGAGCGCGCCAGAGGCGGCACTGGAGGCGCCGCTGGGGGGCCCCAGCGCCGATCCGAGAAATCCGCGCGGACCTCCGAGTTGTTATGTTTATGTCTCTTGTTGTTCCCCTAGAATCACTGTCGCTCCCCTGCCAACGCTGTCCGCTCCGAGGCCGTGCTCCACGGGAAGCTGCACCCCTTCGTCGGCACAACCCCATCGCGCGGAGCGCGGCGCCACGGGGAGCTCCGCCCAAGGGGCGCCGGGAGGAGGAGCTCGCACGGCGTCCCCGCGACCAGTCTTCGGAGGAGGAGACGCCTCCTGAGAGCCTCGCTGCCTCGCTTTCCCCGTGCGGGGCCTCCTGGGAGGCTCGCGCCACCGCCGCCGGATTCGCCTCGACCTCCTGGGCAGAATGCACCCCGGGAAGGGTCTGGGGAGTTATATAGCGGCATCGAAGCCTTTGGGTTCCCTAAAGTCTGGCACGCGGGAGGGCGCTTCGGGCTCGGGGCGGGCGGCGCGGTTGCGCTCGCGGGGCGGGGGGCGACGGCGGGCGACGCATGGGCGACGCCTGCGGCCCCTGCGAGCACGCGCAGAGTGGCCGGGCCGAGGTTCGAGTGCTTCGGGCGGTTCTCGGCGGCTCTCCAGCTTCGCGGTGCTTGCCAGCAGGCGCGCAGCGCCGAGGGCGTTCCGGGAGTGCCCAGGCCCCGAGAGCCGACTGTTGATTTAGGTCGGGCCTGTCTCACTACAGAGGGTTTTTGGACGAAATATTAAAAATAGTTTAAATAATATTCTAAGAATGACAAAAAAATAGTCAAAGCATCGTCCCCAGACTACTTTTTTTACTTCTAAATATTCCTCCTGTAGAGGGACAGGCTCGACTTCAGTGCTGCTCCTCGAGCAGAGGGGGGTGCCCTGAGCTCCACCCGTGGGCCCCGCGGAGGGCGAGTGGCGTCACCGCGGCCGCGCCAGCATGCCATATGATCTTCGCGCGGGGCCCGAGACCTTCCGGGAACTCCGCCTGCCGTCCCAGCGGAGGGAGGAGAGCTCGCCTGGCGTCGCCCCGCCCACGCCGGCACGCCATTCACAGCGCCCGTGCCCCGCCAGGAGTCTCGCGTGCTGCCCTGACGGGGGAACTCGCACAGCGTCGCCCCGCCGATGCCTGCACATCCATCACACAGGTCGTGCCCCACGGGGATCTGCACCGACGGCGAATGGACGAACTGGCATGTCGACGTCCGCTCACTCGGATCGTGTCCCACGGGAAGCTCCACCCAAAGGTCCAGAGCCGGAGAACTCATGGCACTGTCACGCTGTACCGGGCACATCTGCCCGCCTCCCTCCCTCCCTCCTCTCCTCTCCTAATCCATCATGGTAATCATCATCCCCCTTCCCCTCCCCACCCTCCCCCTCTTCGTAGTCATCGTCCTCCCTCGTTGATCCTCTCCTCCTCCTCCTACTGCTGCTCCTCCTCCTCCTCTTCGTACCCCGAGGCCAGTTTTTTTGAGGCGGGCTGGGCGTTTCGCCTGAGACTTCCTCACCACTTTTGAGTCTAAAGCTTAAAAAGTGGGAGCGATTTCACAGACACATTCGTTTTTTCCCCGAATTTGCAAGAGCTTCACGGATTGAGGGCGGGCCTTAGCGCCGCGTGCATTTGCTTTTCTCAATTTTATAAAAGCATGGAAAAGACCCACGGGGATTCCCATGATCAACGTACCATACACTGCGTTTTGGAAGGATTCAGGATTATGCGGGTGCAACAACTATATTGATTCGCGGTGTTGAAGCCCCAACAATGGCGTTCTGGCACGATTCCAGATAGTCAAGACGCAGCAGTCAGGTTGATCCGTGGCGCTGGAATCCCGAGAACAATGTTTTGGCATGCTTCAGGCTTTTCAAACGATTGCCTTCCAACGAGGCAGTTCCCTCAATGGCACTGAACCGTTGTAGGGGGCTATGATAAGGGAGCTTGGAGGGAGGGTTAATTCCAACATCGTTGATGATTATTGGATTTACACTGGTCCTCCTCCTCCTCCTCCTCTGCGTATCCTTCCCCGTCTCATTATTCTTCTCGCCCATGCGTTCCCTCGTGATTTTCCTCGTCGCCATCCTGCCACAACGACCGTCCTGCGACGGCTGCATCGACATCTCAATCTTCACGTTGAGGTAGTCCCCCTCGCCTGGATTGGCAGCGCACGGGGCAATCCCGAGCCCAGGGAGCTGGACGTTTCTGCTGCCCTCCCGTTTCTGCTCTCCCCTCACCCTGCGGCGGCCGGGGGACGAGGAGAGGGGAGGGAGGAATGAGGACCAGGGTTGGGTCGGACATGTCCTCCTACAGGCGCGTTGTCGAAGACAACACTAATAAAAATCATAAAACAGTCGTCCGAAAACTAATTGCTTAAACTATTCCTGGATGTTCCTCTGGACATGCCCGGCTTAAGACCAGGGGAGATGAGGTCCGAGGGGTATGAGGGTGCAGATGGCTTTGTTAGGGGCTCCGGGTAGGGACTTCCACGCACGACAAGCGACGGCGGCTACGGGGTGTGCTTGGAGGCCCCGTGGGGGAGGACTGGACAGGACTGCCGCTTGGAGCGCCGAGGTCGTCTGGACGGTCAGGGGTACAGTGGAGGCCCCCCGACCACAAGAAACCTCTCACAAGAAACCCAACCCTGAGACCCCAAGACGCCCATGGACATTTGGTGCGCGAGCATCGCGCTTTCCATCGAAGAATCCTCGAAAACCAAGAAGCCCAGGGCACCCTGGAGGCAAGCAGGGTGTCTCTTGGCATGGGTCCCCACTGTGCGGCTGTACTGCTATCCCCATGAGCGGGCGGAGGACCCGGGACTCCTCCTCCTCCTCCTCCTCCTCCTCCTCCTCCTCCTCCTCCTCCTCCTCCTCCTCCTCCTCCTCCGCTGCCGCGAGCTCGAAGGCCCACGGCGAGGCGAGCGCCTGCACGAGGAACCAGCCTATATAGTGGGCGGGGGCGCCAGGCCAGTAGGGCGCCGCCCGCAGGGAAGGGGCGCGGGGCGAGGGGGGCGAAGGGCTGATGGGCCCGGTTGCCACCATCACCACCATACGTTGGGTGAAGAAGGCGGAGGATGAGGAGGGAGAGGGAGAGGACGAGGGGGAGGAGAACCCCCCATCCACCCTCCCCAACTTCTGGTGGTGGTGGTGGAAAACGGGAGGAGACGAGGGGGAGGAGACGAGGGGGAAGAAGAGGGGGAGGATGAGGAGGGAGAGGACGAGGGGGAGGAGCACCCCCCATCCACCCTCCAACTTCTGCTGGTGGTGGTGGTGGTGGTGGTGGTGGACAACGGGCCCATCAAGGGCGGGAGAGCGGGCGGGCCGCCAGGCCTGGGGCGGCGCCCGCAGGGAAGGGGCGCGAGGCAAGGGGGGGCGGAGGGCGGGAGCAGATGAAAAGATGAGCACATGAGCAGAAACTGTTGGCGCTCCGCGCGGGGTTCGTGGACTCGCGCTGGACCCCCCTCCCTGGCGCGCGGAGCGCGCTGGGGGAGGCGCTGGAGGCGCCGCTGGAAGAAACACGCGCGGAGCGCCAAAGGTTTATGTTTTATGTTTTACGCGGCTTTTTCTTCTCCGAGGCAGAGGCAGGGAGCGGGGAGCGGGCGGAGGCAGGGAGGCGAGGCAAAGAAGGCGCTCCTCAGGGTCCCCGCTCTCCCCGCCCCCCCCGCCCGGGGGTCTGCATGAGCACACCCACCCCCCGCACACCGCCTCGTCTCGGCTATACCACACGCAGGAGTGGCCCTGGGCACGAGCGACCTTTGGTACACTGCTTTCAAGGGGTCGTGGGGGGACCAAACACAGGCGCGCGCAAGCCGCTACCATCGCTTTGGTGCACGGTTTTGGGGGGGCGCGGGGGGGGCAATTACACGGGAGAAAAACCACAACAACAAAAACGATAGTACAATGCATTGCGTCGCGGCGGGAAAATGAAAGAGTGAGACAGGCATAGACAAATACCAAGAGAGAGAGAGAGAGAGAGACAGGGAGAGACAGAGAGAGAGAGAGAGATATTGAAAACACCAAGAGCACACATCATACATAGAGAGTGTCGGAAAATGAGACAGATACAAGGAAGTACCAAGAGAGAGAGAGAGAGATGGGGAGAGAGAGAGAGAGAGAGAGAGAAAGAAATGAGAGAGAGTGCATCACACCGAAACAATCAGCATCAAAAGGAGAGAGAGAGAGAGAGAGAGATTGAGACAAACAAAGAGAAAGAGAGAGATGGGGGCGCATACCAACAACTGCCCACCAAACTCAGCCGGCTGAGGGGGCACCCACCGAAAACCGCCCACCGAGAGCCGCCAACCGGAATCGGCCCGCTAATTTCGCCGATCCCTTCTATGTCCGCTAGGACCCCGTCAGTGCAAACACTGACCGGGGAAACACGAGCGCAAGACGCTGGTACCGCATCGCGCTCGGCGCTTGGGGGGGGGGCCCCAGTGGGCCCGCACCCAATGCCACTCTGGCGAAGGTTCACTCTTACGCGTAGTCGATCCTCGCGGCGACCCCCCGCCCGCCCCCGCCGCGGCGGGGACACAGCAAAGGGGGGGGGGATCCGCGAGTCAGCTTCTGCGCAGCTGGTCTTCTCCCTGGCGGCGCCTCCTGGCGCCGAAGAAAACCAACCGACGAATCGAGGAAAGCGCTCGGCGGTGGGGGCTCGAATCCAGCTGCCTGCACCAGATCTCGAACCTCCACTCCTTCCCTGCCCCCCTCCCCCCCCTGAGACGAAGCTAGGACGAAGATCACATCGGGTACGGATAGATGGAGAATCTCTGAGATCCGGCGGCTCTGGAGGATGTCTCGGGCACATCGGCCTTCTCAGAGCGTTCCAGCATGTTCTGAGAGCGTTCGGGAATGCTCTGGAACGGAGTTATCCTCGTCCTAGCCCAGTCCGACCCCCCCCCTAGAGGAGCAATTATCATGGCGAAGGACCCAACCATATGCAGTTGTGAGTGCAGCAATTGTAAATATCTCCTTCGGTGGAGCTCCCTACATGGCCACGAAGCGCTGCACTTGGTGGGGTGGGCGCATGCGGGCGGTAGTGCTGGGACCTTCGGTGGAGCTCCCTACGGGGCCACGAAACGCTGTACCGCGTGAGGGGGACGCATGCGTGCGGTAGCATTTGGGCCGTCGGTGGATTTCCCGTTGGGGCCATTAAACGCTGTACTGGGTGGGGGGGGACGCCGTGCGGGTGATAGCCCTGGGACCTTCGGGGGAGCTCCCTACGGGGCCACGACGCGCTGTACTGCATGGAAGGGACGTATGCGGGCGGTAGCACTGGGACCGTCGGTGGAGCTCCCTATAGGGCCACGGAACGCTGTACTGGGCGGGGGGGGGACGCACGCGGGCGGTAACGGTGGGGCCTTCGGTGGAGCTTCCTATGGGGCCACGAAGCGCTGCACCGGGTGGGGGGACGCATGCGTGCGGTAGCACGGGGCACTTCGGTGGAGCTCCGTATGGGGCCACGAAACGCTGTACTGGGTGGGGGGGGGACGAACGCGGGCGGTAGCACAGGGGCCTTCGGTGAAGCTCCCTATGGGGCCACGAAACGAGTGAGGGGTGTGCTGAAACAGGTGATGACGATGATGATGGTGGAGGGAGGAGGGGAGAAGGAAGGAGGAAGGAGGGAACGCGGAGACCGTCTCTTCAAAACGAGGACCCCACACCACAGGATGAGTTGGTAAAAGAGCATATGCAAAAACCTTCGGAGTTGGTAAAAGAGCATAGCAGTTGGCGGCACGTCTCCAATATATCGGCGACTCGACAGCGAAACCGCACGTTCCTGGGTGGGACCGTGCGGCCCCTGGGTCGATGCTCCCCTCCCGCTCTAGGGACCACTCCCCCCGCCTGCAGGCCGCTGGTTTCTTGCCCTTCTGATTCCCAGAGGTCCCGTGCCGTGCTTCTGCTGATGCGTTGCTTTCCCCATGCCCCGCCCCACCCCCCCCCTCCTCCTCCTCCTCCTCCTCCTCCTCCTGCTCCTCCTCCTCCTGCTCCTCCTCCTCCTCCTCCTCCTCCTCCTACTCCTCCTCCTCCTCCTGCTCCTCCTCCTGCTTCTCCTCCTGCTCCTCCTCCTGCTCCTCCTCCCTGACAGCCCAGGGGCCCACCGAGGGCCCCCCGGAGGCCGACGGCCGCGAGACGCCTCCGCTGCGCTGAGATGCGCTATGCTTGCGCTGAGTGCGGTCCGACGCTGTCTGGCGGCATGCAGAAGATCGGGCTCCACATCTTGAGCAGGGACCGGGCGTCCTACCACGAAGTGCTGTGTTCTTAGAACCCAAAAATGTCAAAATAAAAACATGTTCTCAGATCATAAGCCCGATGTGATAAAACAAGACAGACTCCGCCAGAAATGTTCTAAGAAAAATTCTTGGAAGCCACAAAAGATTATTAGAACATTGTTTGGTAGCGCTATAGGCGAGCCAGGACGCTTCGCCACTGCTTGAACATCGAGCAGCATCGCCGATAAACACCGGTGATACGACGCGATCCTACGACCCCATCGGCTCGGACCCCATCTGGGACGTCGGCGAGCTCTGCGGCGAGGGAGCCACGGTGCCACAAGCCTCCCCCCCCTCCTCCGCCTGGCCTTCCTCTCGGGAACGTCGGCTGTTCAGGAGGGGAAAGATACACAGACACAACTCATCGTCGATTCCCGAGAAACTATAGGAAATATGGACAGTGTGGGGGAAGACGAAATTGTAGAAAATATGGGGAACTAAAGGGAATGCTGGGATCTGCGTCTACTCATTTGTGTGTCCCTGGGCCCCTTGGAGGCGGGGGGTCCCCTCCACACGCATGGCAGCACCTTGGACGAGCCAGGGGGACACGAGGCCTGGAGAGGGCTGGCGTGTCCCCCTACAGGCGGGCTTTGGACGAAAGATAGAACATACTCAAATAGATTCAAACATATCCAAAAATGGTCAAAACATCGTGCCCAGACAATGTTTTTAACAATTTTCGAATATTCCTCCTGTAGAGGGACAGGCCCGACTTAAGCCTTGTCTGCGATGGGAGGTCTGGACCGCTCCCGACCCGAGAGACCGATTTCGGGAGGCGCCGGCGGCAGCGGCGAAGGCAGCGCGGGCGGGGCGCCAGGCTCGTTCCAGCGGTTGATCTGCAGGTCCACGGCGAGCGGCAGGGACACGTGGACCACGTGCATGTCCTCGCGAGGCGGGGCTCCGCATTCGCAGCCACCGCCCGGGGAACCGACGCCCCCGGCCCCCAGCTGGCAGTGGATCCTGGAGTAGACTTTGGCCCCAGGGGGCCCCAATCTTTTCATACCTACCCGCCTGGCATGATTTAGGCATAAGAGGACCCCTGACCCTTTGGGAGGCGACGTAAGTTAGGCGGGCCAGGAACATCAGGGTAAGGTAAGTTAGCCGGGCGGTGGTGGTGCATGCATCCCCACATCCGGAGTCCTTGCCCGCCCTGCCTTGCTGCAGGACCTCGCCCGAGCCGTCGGTGACGACCTGGGCGCCGCCGGCCGGGTACCACCCCCACCACCTCCGGGCAGGGCTCAGAAGACGACGGGCCCGTTTTCACACACCACCACCACCATACATTGGAGGGGGATGGGGTCCTCCTCCTCCTCCTCCTCCTCCTCCTCCTCCTCCTCCTCCTCCTCCTCCTCCTTCGTCCTCCTCCTCCTCGTCCTCCACCTCCATCCCTCCTCCAACTCATGGTGGTGGTGGAGAAAAGGCCCATCACGAGACGGGAACACCGGCCAGACGTCTCGAGCCCTCGATCCTCGCCACGTCCGCAGGCCTCCGTCCTCTCTCTCTCTCACTCTCTCTCCGCCTCCTCCTCCTCCTCTTCCTCCGCCTCGTCCTCCTCCTCCTCCTCCTCCTCCTCCTCCTCCTCCTCCTCCTCCTCCCTTGCCCGAAGCCTGCGGTCGGCTGGGAACATTCTTGCTTCGCGTGACGCGGCGGCAAGTCCCCGGGCGACACGCTGCAGCCTGTTGGCGGACACAGCGCGTCGCTCCGCTCCGCGGGGCAGGGTGCTCGGGGGTGCACATGCGAACCCTACCCCCACACCCCCACGAAGTGAACCCCACCCTCCTCCTCAGGAATCGTGGGGGGTAGGGGTAGGGTTCTCATTTGGCCGCCCAAGGCTGGGAGACGCTTGAGGCGTTGGCGCAGGGGGACCGCGACGTGGATGGCGGCCCGCGACACGCTACGCAGAAGTTCCTGACCGCAAGACATACGCACGTCGTCGGCCGTCTGGACTGAGGATCGCAAGTTTACGTTGCTCTGTCAGGTGCGCGTGAGGCGCACAGCCTTCGTACAAACTGCGTTCACTCTTCGACCGCCAGACCTCGCTCTTCGCCCCCCATGCCCTCCTCCAACGACAAACAACATCAGCTGCCTCCCTCCTTTCGGGAAGCTGTAAGACTCGGATTCGGGGGACTCGAGTTGGCCTGACAGGGCCATCATGAAATTGACGAGACCCAATCTGAAATTTGACGCGGGCTCCCGGTGCACACATCCTACGAAAACTGGATCGTCAAAATGCAGGACGAGCTCGTCAAAAAGCGTCGGCAAACTCGAGGTCCAGCTTACCTGGCTTACACACGTCTTACGCTTCCCCGATCCTTCGCGGGCCCACAGCGGTGCGGTGACGGACCATGCGGTGTCTTCGAAATCCCAGAGCACTTGGCCACACGATCCGTCACCGCACGAGCCTCCCACGCCGTAGGGTCCGTGGACAGAGGGCGTGCACACCTTCTGCTGCCTATCGCCCGGCTCCTTCTTTCGCTCGCTCGGCCTCTCGCCCACGCCGCCTCCACGGTTTATCTCGGACGGACTAGGCCCAGATCCAGCCCCAGCTGGACTCCAGAGAATCTTACAGTTTCGCCTCGCCTCTTCCCAAGGGGAGCGAGAGAAAGGAAGGGAAAGAGAGAGAGAGAGAGTTTGGGCACGCAAGGAGTGGGATGCGGAGGGGGGGCAACGGGGGATGGAGGGGCAAATGCGCAAGGAGAGGGACGAGAGGAGGGGGAGGCAGGGCAAGCGTGGGACTCCATTCGGCGAAAGGACTGGGAGGCGGAGGGGCCTGGGGGGGGGCGGACGAATAAGGGGAGGGGGGCCTGCAGAGTTGCAGCTGCTCCTCATTCCCAGGCTTCCTCCCTTGTCCCTCCATGCTGCCTTCTCCCTCGGCCTCTCTCTCGCACTCCCCCTCGCCCTGACGACCTGCCAGACCACCCCAAACCCAGCCCGAAGGCCCGCACTTCGGGCTTGGGGAGGGGGGGGTGGTACGGGTCTCATCTGTGCTCTGCTCAGTGCTCGCCGGCTCCTTCCCCCGCACTGTTTGTGCTGGCTGGGGCCTTCGGGCTGGGCTGGGGTGGTTTGGCCTCCCCCATTCCCCCCCCCGCGCGAGGCGTCGAGGCGCCGAGGCGCCAAGGCGCCGAGGCTGGGCTGGACCATGGGCTGTAAGGGTGAGGCTCTCGGGCGCTTCCGCGCTCGCTCCGGCCCGCGCTCCCTCTTCCTCCGCCCCTCTCTCTTCTCCTCTCTTCTCTCCTTCTTCGTTGTCGCTAACGTCATCGTCGCTGCTGTCGTCGTCGTCGTCGTCGTCGTCGTCGTCGTCGTCGTCGTCGTCGTCGTCGTTGTCGTCGTCCCCCCCCCGCCCCCGCCCTCCTCCTACTCCCCCGCCGCGCCGTTGTCCTGGGGGGTGGGTGGGGGACAGGCGGTCTCTCTTTCTCTTTCTCTCTCCACGTCTTCTCTCGCGAGAAGGAGGTCCGCCAGGAGCTCCCCTCCCCAGCGCGGATCCCACGCTCACCGCCTCCTAGCGGCCTGCTGCGGCACGTCGAACGGGTTTGGCCAGGGGGGGGCCCGGAGGATCCTTTCTGCGTCCTGCCTTTGGCCATTAACATGCCCAGTGCCGTGTCGTCGAAAGGTGGTGGATGTGCCACGGCTGGTCGGGGTTTCCCCCCTCGGCAGGGCGCTGGGCGGTGTAGCCTGGAGGCCGTCCACGACGCTCTGGCCAAGCGGGCGCTCTCCGAGGCTCCGCCCCCGCGGGACCCGCAGTCTGCCTCTGGGCCACAAGCCAGCCTGTTATCTCTCTCCCGCCCCTGCCCTCCTGACGAGCTGACGAGCTGAAGCCGATATGCCCAATCGGATGCCGCCCTCCCTCCCCAGGCCTGGTCGGCACTGGGGGTGAGTTAAACTACGAGCCGAGCGACTCCTGAAGCGGTCGCTCCAGGAGTCGCTGGCTGGGGTAACAGGTAAACGACGGAAGACAGGAGTGCGGCTGGCGGCAATTCGTGGGGTGCTACCCGAAGTCTTGGCGGTAATAGGGCGGGTCTTTAGATCCCCCCCGACAGTGGAAATTGATGTGTATCGGCGCCCTTACTGACGGACGAGGGCCAGCAAAAACAGCAAATGGTAATTCGCTCGCAATAGCGACAGCATAGGCATCAGAAGAAGCAGAAGCAGTAGCACCAGCAAGTAGCCGTAGTAGTAGTAGTACTGGTCGTAGTGGTCGTGGAAGTGGAATTAGAAGTGGTAGTGGTAGTAGTAGTAGAGTAGTAGTAGTAGTAGTAGCAGTAGTAGAAGTAGTAGTAATAGTAGTAGTTAGTAGTAGTAGTAGTAGTAGTAGTAGTAGTAGTAGTTGTAGTAGTAGTAGTAGTAGTAGTAGTAGTAGTAGTAGTAGTAGTAGTAGTAGTAGTAGTAGTAGTAGTAGTAGTAGTAGTAGCAGGAGTAGTAGTAGTAGTAGTAGTAGTAGTAGTAGTAGTAGTACTAGTACTAGTACTAGTACTAGTACTAGTAGTAGTAGTAGTAGTAGTAGTAGTAGTAGTAGTAATCGTAGTAGTAGTAGTAGTAGTAGTCGTAGTAGTAGTAGTAGTAGTAGTAGTAGTAGTAGTCAAAGTAATCGTAGTACTAGTAGTAGCAGTAGTAGTAGTAGTAGTAGTAGTGATAGTTGTAGTAGTAGTAGTAGTAGTAGCACTAGTAGTGGTAGTAGTACTAGTAGTAGTGGTAGTACCAGTAGAAATAATGATAGTCGCAGTTGCAAAAAGTAGTAGTAGTAGTAGTAGTAGTAGTAGTAGTAGTAGTAGTTGTAGTAGTAGTAGTAGCAGTGGTAGTAGTAGTGGTGGTGGTGGTGGCAGCAGGAGTGGTCGTACTAGTAGTGGTAGTGGTATCAGTGTTAATAATTGAAATACTACAAGTAGTACTGGAGAGAATTGCACTAGTACGGGTAGTGGTCGATGGTGTAGTCGTAGTTGTAGTGATAGAAGTCGCAATAATAGAAGAAATAGTAATCGCAGTTGTAGTCGTGATCGCAGTAGTAGTACTACTAGTAGTAGGAGTAGCAGTAGTAGTAGTAGTAGTAGTAGTAGTAGTAGTAGTAGTAGCCGTTGTAGTTGCAAGTGGAGTAGTATTGGTAATACGGACAGCCTGGTGGTAGTAGTAGAGGAATTAGTGGTAGCCGTAGTACAAAAGGGATAGAAGTAGAAGTAAGTGCAACATTAGCAGTGGCAGTAGCAGGCAGTGGCAGAATCAGTACCCGCAGCAGTAGAACTAGCAATAATACTCGTCGTCGTCGCCGTAGTAATATCGAACTTAGAATAGAAATAGTAGTAGTAGCCGTAATAGAAGTAGTCGTCGCAGTAGTAGTCGCATAAAGGCAGTGGTCGTCGTAGTTGTATTAGAAGCAGTAGTAAGAACTGTCGTAGTAGTAGCACGACTAACAGTAGCAATAGCAATCGTAATCGTAGTAGTAGTAGCAGTCGAAGTTGTAGTAGTAGTAGTAGTAGTAGTAGCAGTAGTAGTAGTGGTAGTAGTGGTAGTAGCATTAGTAGTAGTAGTAGTAGTAGTAGTAGTAGCAGTAGTAGTAGTAGTAGTAGTAATATAGCAATAATAGTAATAGTAGTGGTATTACTAGAAGTAGTTGTAGTAAGAGAACAGGGAGTGGTAAAAATAGTAGCAATACAAGTCGTAGCAGCAGCAGTAGTTGTAGCCGAAGCAGTAGAATAACCATTAACTCGGATATTCGCAGTCGTAGCCGTAGTAGCCGTTGTAATAGTAAACGTCGCAGAAGTAGTGGTGGCAGTAGTAGTAGTTGTCGTAGTAGAAGCAGTAGTAGCAGTCGTAGTGGTCGTCGGAGTTGTAAGAGTAGTCATAGCCGTCGTAGTAATGGTCGTTCTCGTGGTCGTACTCGCAGTCGTAGTCGTGCTCGTTGTTGCAACAGTGTTACTAGTAGTCGTAATACTGGTTGTGGTAGTACTAGTTGTAGTTGCAGCAATCGACAGTGATAGTACCTTTCGTAGTAATATACCAGTAGTGGTCGTCGCAATATTAATAGAAATAATGTCGTTTGTGGTCGTAGTGGTAGTAGTGGTAGTAATCGTAATAGTACGAGTAGTAGGAGTAGTCGTCATGGCCCCAGTAGTAGTAGTAGTAGTAGTAGTAGTAGTAGTAGTAGTAGTAAAAGTAGTAGTACTAGTAGTAAAAGTAGTAGTAGTAGTAGTAGTAGTAGTAGTAGTAGTAGTAGTAGCAGCCGTGATGGTATGAGTCGTCGTATTAGGTCGCTGGCGCTGAAGTAGGATTAGTAGCACTCTTAGACGTCGTAGCTGTAGCAGTCCTAGTACCAGTGCTGATAGTGGTAGTAGTAGTAGTAGTAGTAGTAGTAACAGTAGTAGTAGTAGTAGTAGTCGTACTAGTACTAGTACTAGTACTAGTACTAGTACTAGAAGTAGTAGTAGTAGTAGTAGTAGTAGTAGAAGTATGAGTAAGGGTACAAGTGGTCGTCGTCGTATTAGTCGTAGTAGTGATCATACTAAGAGTAGTCGTGATCTTACAAGCAGTAGTGGTCCCACCAGTAGCAGTATTATTCGTAGTAGTCGTGTACCGGTCGCATCGTGAGTCGTAGTAATAGACATTCTAAATCGTAGTAGTACGAGTCGTAGTAGTAGTCGTAGTAGTAGTAGGATTCGTACTGGTAATACTCTGACTAGTGGTAATCGTAGTAGTAGTAGTAGTAGTAGTAGTAGTAGTAGTAGTAGTAGTACTAGTAGTAGTAGTAGTAGTAGTAGTAGTAGTAGTAGTAGTTATTGTGGTAATGGTCGCGGTAGTATTAGTAGTAGTAGTAGTAGTAGTAGTAGCAGTAATTGTAGGAGTCGTCGTTACCGTCGTCGCAGCAGTTGCAGTAGCAGTCGTAATGGTAGTTGTGGTAGTAGTAGGATTTCACGAAATACTACTAATCATCGTCGTTGTAGTAGTAGTAGTAGTAGTAGTAGTACCAGTAGTAGTAGTAGTAGTGATAGTAATAATAGTAGTAGTAGTACTAGTAGTGGTAGTGGTAGCAGTAGTAGTAAGAGTAGTAGTAGTAGTAGTAGTAGTAGTAGTAGTAGTAGTATTAATACTAATAGTAATGATTGTGGAAGTAGAAGGAGCAATAGTGGTAGCAGTAATACACATCATCGCAATGGTCGTAGTAGTAGTAGTAGTAGTAGTAGTAAAAGAAGTAGTCGTTGTAGTAGTAGTACTAGTAGTAGAGGTAGTAGTCGTAGCAATACTATTCGTAAAAGTAGCAGTAGTCGTCGTCACAGTCACATTAAAGTTAATAGTAATGGTAGTAGCCTTAGTAGTAAGACTACTAGTAGTAGTAGTGTTGTAGGAGTCGTACTAACAGTCCTAGTAGTCGTAGTAGTAGTAGTAGTATTGGTAGTAGTCGTAGTAGTGGTAGTAGTAGTAGTCGTAGTACAAGTAGTACCAAAAGTCGTCGCCACCGTAGTAGTAGTAATCATAATCGTCGGCGTCGGTGTGTTACTAATCGTGGCCGTAGAAGTAGTAGTAGTCGTAGTAGCAGGGATAATACAAGTAGTAGCAGTGCTCGTAGAAGCAAACGCAATTACGGTAGTAGTTGAAATTCTGATAGTAGTACGTAGTCGTCGTTGTCGTAGTAGTAGTAGTAGTAGTAGTAGTAGTAGTAGTACAAATTAGAAGTAGTACCAGCAGTAATCGCGTTAGTAGAAGTAGTAGTGGTAGTGGTAGTAGAAGTAGTAATAGTAGTAGTAGTAGTAGTAGTAGTAGTAGTAGTAGTAGTAGTAGTAGTAGTAGTAGTAGTAGTAGTGGTAGTCGTCGTAGTAGTAAAAGTAGTAATAGTATTAGTAATAGTAGTAGTAGTAGTAGTAGTAGTAGTAGTAGTAGTAGTAGTAGTAGTAGTAGTAGTAGTAGTACTAATAGTAGCAGCAGCAGCAGCAGCAGCAATAGTAGTAGCAGTAGTAGTGATAGTAATAGTAATCGTATTCGTAATAGTAGTAGTAATCGTCGTCGTCGTCGTCGTAGTCGTTGGAACCGTAATGTCAGTAGAAGTACGTAGTAGAAGAAGAAAAAAAGGAGGTAGTAGCACAAGGAGGAGAGGGAAAAGGAGAAGGAGGACCGGGAGCATGAGGAGGATGAGGGGCCGAGTTTTTCCCCGCCGAGAGAAACAAGGGGGGAGCCCAGAAGCAAAGACCGATCACGGTCACTTCCATCCTCCTCCTCCCTCTCCTCCTCGTCCCTAGTCCATCTCCCCTCCACACCCTCCCTCTCCTCATCTCGCGCCCCCATCCTCCTCGGCCGAAACCGAGTCCGGGCTGGGGGGGGATCCAACCGGCAACCGCCTGCCACGAAACAGACTGCGGTATGCCTTTCGCGGACCGGCTGTGGATGACTTCGGGCCAGATCCATTTAGAGCTCCTGCCTTGCATCGGTGAACGGCCTGCCTGGGGCCTCTCGAACGCTTGGGCGACTCCAATCTCCACCTGTCTCAGCTGGCCTCAGGCTCCCGGAGACAGCTGCAGGCGTCGCCTGTTCCTCCCTCGCAGCCGAGCGGCTTCCCAGGGGGACTGGGCGCGGAGGGACGGCGAGGTCATGCAGAGGGGGGCTCTCCTCCTGGCTGCACTGCGGCTGCTGTCCCCGCACAACGCCCACTCACCGCCTTCCATGGCCGCCATCCACCCTTCCTTGGCCTTGAAGCCCGCGGCACCCGTATCGCCGGGTCCGCGTTGCTGAACTGGTCCGGGAAGCCCGTGATGATGGGCTGCCCGTTGAAGGAGGCCGTGAGGGCGGAGATGCGCAGGATGTTCCTGCGGCGGGTGCCCAGGCGACCAGGGGAGAGCAGATCGCGAGGAGCGCGAGTGCCCAGACGCCCAGACGCACCTCGCGTCGTGAAGACTGTGATGGTGATACTGGTGATGGTGATTTTGATGATGATGATGATGCTGACGATGGTGGTGATGATGATGATGATGATGATGAGGATGATGATGGTGATGGTGCTGCTGATGATGATGACAGTGGTGATGATGATGGTGATGGAGATCGCGCAGACGATGATGAGGAATCGAATGATGTGTGGTGATGATGAGGAGGATGAGGACGATGATTAATGAGTCTGAAAAAACAGGAGGATGAATCTGAATGTATGATGATGGTGAAGATGATGAAACGCTCCCCGAAGCGGTTCCGTGGACACAGAACTGAGCACACAGTGCGCCATACTCAGGCCGTCTGCTCACGACCCACACATTCGAAGAGAAGTTTACTGGAACCCATGGAAACCCTGGACCCCTGGAGCCTTCGAGCGAAAAACGGGCGGCGCATCCGTTCTGATCCCAGCGGGTGATTCTGCCCCTCGCAGACATACTAAACCTTACAGTGGGCGCAAGTCCACAAACAACCTTCTACAAGAAACCCAACCCTGAGTCCCCAGGACGTCCATTGATTTCTGGTGAAGAAACGTCACGCTTTCCATCGCAAAACCATCAACACCCAAGATGCCCTGGGCATCCTGGATGCAAGCAGGGTGTTTCTTGGCACGGGCCCCCACTGCATGAATGATTGATTGGGAGGAGGAGGAGGAGGAGGGGCATGAGGATGAGCGGCGGAGTGAGGAGGACAACGAGGCTGGGGACTGCGAGGAGACAGGGGGCTGGAAGCGGCGCGGGCGGGGCGGAACAGGCGAACAGCTAGTTTTTGCCGTGAGCGCGGCGGTGGTGCCGGACGAGGTGGAGCAGAACGGAGCAGCGCCAATGGCCCCACGGGGCACGGCAGGCCAAAAGGCAAAGACTGAAGGCCCCCCCAAATATTTGGGGGGCCCCCCAAATATTTGGGGGGCCTCGTCCGTAATCTTCCATTTGCAAATGGAAGATTACGGACGAGGCATTCGTGATCCACTCGAGGGCACGGCAATCTGTGAGGCGCTGCGGGGGGATGCCCCTGGCCGCAAGCGACACCCGCATCAGGGGACACCGCAGGGACTCGCCTCAGCACTCCACTATGTGTCGGCCACAGGAGGAAGACGCAAAAGCCTGCCCCAGCACAACCCCGAGTAGGACTCTCAACGCGGGGCGAACCAAGCGTCGGAGGGGCTCGTAGACCCGACCAAGCGTCCTTCCCCCAGAGAGCTCTCATCAAGGCGCAGCGCCCGAGGGGCCTCGGACAGGGAGGAGGCGGAGCATGAGGCGGAGCAGCCTGAGGAACAGGAGCAGGAGCAAGTCAATCAGAAACGTGAGGACAGGGAGGAAGAACATGAAACATGGCGAGGAACACGAACATTGGGCGCCCGAGTTATCCGGGGTAACTCGGGTCCGGGGTAACTCGGGTTTGGATTCCCGAAAAAGGAACCCGAGTTATCCCTGACCCGAGTTACCCCTGATGATTCGGGGCTCTGGACGCCCGAAGTATCCGGAAACTCGGTTCCGGGGTAACTCGGGTTTGGATTCCCGAAAAACGAGCCCGAGTTATCCCTGACCCGAGTAACCCCTGATGATTCGGGGCTCTGAGAACAGTAGGGGAAAGAAGGATGAAGCGGAGCTTCGAGATAAGAGAGCGTGATCCACCGCCGCTTTACTGTGGAAAATTGCCGCCCTTTTCCTCCGGAACCCGGGGGTCCCCCCCCCACCCCTCCGAAAATCCCCCCCCCCTGCTGGAACCCCTCCCCCCCCCTCCCCCCTTCCCCCGGCAACCCCCCCCCCCTCCCCTAACCCCCCCCCCCCCTCGAGCTCGAAAACCGGGGGGGGTCACTACCGGTTCGAACCCCCCCCCCTCGAAAACCGGAGGGGGGGGTCACTACCGGTTCGAACCACTGAGCTGTCCCACTGTTCCCACCACTGTCCCCACTGTCCCTACCACTGTCCCCACTGTACCTCTGTCCCATTGTCCCACCGCCGTCCTCGCCACCGCCTTCACCACTGTCCCCACCACCACTGTACCCTCCACTGTCCTACTGTTTCCACCACATTCCCACTGTCCCCACACCACTGTCCCCACCACCACCGTCCCCACCACTGTCCCACTGTCCCCACTGTTCCCACCATTGTCCTCACCATTGTCCCCACCACTACCGTCCCCACCACTGTCCCACTGTCCCCACCACTGTCCCGCTGTCCCCTCACCACTGTCCCCACCACCACCGTCCCCACCACTGTCCGCACCCCCCCTCGGTTTTCGAGGGGGGGGGGGGGTTCGAACCGGTAGTGACCCCCCCCGGTTTTCGAGCTCGCGGGGAGGGGGGGGGTGTTCGAACCGGTAGTGACCCCCCTCCTTTTCATGATGAACTGGGGGGGGGGAGGGGTTCGAACCGGTAGTGACCCCCCCCGGTTTTCCGGAGGGGGGGGGGGGGAGGGGTTCGAACCTGTAGTGACCCCCCCCCGGTTTTCCGCTAGCAGCGGTAGAACACGCTCTTTCCGAGATAACGATGAGGAAGAGGAGAGACCAATAGCACGATAATGAACAGGGGAAGGGTAAGAAGTTGCATGATGAGGAGAGAAAGAACCTGATGAAGGAGCAGAGAGGCCCAGACGGTGTGAGAAGCTGCATTGACGAGACAGGGATACCGTGCGACATGATTCCTGGCTCCTGGCCCCTGGCTCCTCCGATTCCTCCTCCTCCTCCTCTTCCTCCTCCTCCTATTCCTCCTCCTCCTCGTTCCCCTATTCCTCCTCCTCCTCCTATTCCTCCTCCTCCTCATCCTATTCCTCCTCATCCTCCTCCTCCTATTCCTCCTCATCCTCCTCCCCCTCCTCCTCCTCCCTCCTCCTCCTCCTCCTATTCCTCCTCCTCCCTCCTCCTCCTCCTCCTCCTCCTCCTCCTCCTCCTCCTCCTCCTCCTCCTCCTCCTCCTCCTCCTCCTCCTTTCCTCCTGTTCCTCCTGTTCCTCCTTCTCCTCCTCCTCCTCCTCCTCCTCCTCCTCCTCCTCCTCCTCCTCCTCCTCCTCCTCCTCCTCCTCCTCCTCCTCCCCCTCCCCCTCCCCCCCTCCCTGCACTCCGGGCGAGGAGAGGGGCCGGGCCGACACGGGCCGCCGTCCTGCCGCGCCCGCCGCCCGCCGAAAGAGCAGGAGCGAGGTCCGTCGGATGCCCTCGGCGCCTCGAGGGCGCGGCCCTCTTTGCTGCTGGGAGGCGGGGGAAGAGGATGATATGGGGAGGCAGCTGCTGGGAGGTTTTCGTCGGAAGGATTGAAGAGGATTATAAGCCCCGTTGGGGGGGGCTGTTACGCCGGAGTGGGCCTCGGATTAAGCCGGATTGCGCGGGATTCGGCGGAGGATTGAACCGGATTGAGCGGCGTGCCCCCGAGAGAGAGCAGGGGGCACTTCGGTGCGTGTCGGCCACTCGGGGACCGTTTTTTGTTGATGCATCGGCGATAGCCCGGGTTATCCCCGGGGGGAGGAGGAGGAGGAGGGTGCTGGCCGATGACCCAACCTTCATGCTGTGGGCAGCCCTGCATACGCCCGCACCCCCCCACCCCGGACCTGCACAACCGGCGAGGTTAGGTTATCCTGGGGGGCGGGGGGGAAGGGGGGCAAGCCCGATAACCCAGGTTATCGCCGGATCCCCAAAAAAGTCTCTTGGGCGGGCGCGGTGCAGGCCTCGGAAGAAATTGGCGACTGCTCATGCCGCATTCATCTGTCCGATTGTCAATGTTGGCGGTGGGCTGGACGAGTTGCACTTCGACCGCAGGCTTCCCCGCGCGTGCCAACTTCGAGTTTTGGAGGGCGGGGGAGTGTCCACTATTTTTCCCTCTGCCGTATCATGGCAACGTCGACGACAGTAGACCCGATGATGATAGTGGCGACGCTAGCGACGAGGATGACAACGGCGCCGGCACTGCTAGTGACGGCGCCGATGCTGATCACGGAGACGATGATGATTTCGTCCTAGCGTCGGTGATGAAGGTGTTGGAAGGAGCTCGACATGCGCGCGCGGCCGACGCACGAGAGTGGCCCGCACGGCACAGTCAACCCGTATCATAGGGATGCGCGGTAAGGATGCAAGGGCCTTGGAGGCCCATTTTAGCGTTGTTCGAGCGAGGCTGGCCAGCGAGAGTCGCTAAGGATGGGCCGGAGGGGCAAGTATGCAAGGGTGCCCTTGGGACGGTTGCAAATCCTTACTGTGCGGGCTGACTGCAGGAGTAGGAGTAGGAGTCAGAGTCCCTGGGCGATGTCCAGTCGACCTCTCAGCACGGGAGCCCCTGCTGAGCTCGCCTGGCATCCTCGGTCTCGCCAGAAGCCTTGGGCCACAAGCCCCTCTGCGCACTCGATCCAGAAAACCAGCCCGGGTCCCAGACCTCCCGACATCGTGATTCTCTCACGACTTCGACACCCAGCTCGGCTACACGCAAGAAAGACCATGGGTGAGAGTGACCTTCGGTGCGCGGCTTTGGGCGGGCCGCGGGGGGGACCAAGCACAAGCGCGCAAGACACCACTGCCGCCTCGCGGTCGGCGACCGGGGAACCCAATTTGGCCCGCACCGAAGGTCACTCCAACGAAAGGTCACTCTTGCGTCTGGTCGACTAGAAATCTGGACCTCTTCCCCGGGACCGGTTTTTGACGGTCCCAGGGCCTGGGAAGGACCTCTGGAGGCCGAAGCGAGGACAAGGACGACGATGACGACTACGACGTCGACGGCGTCGACAACGACGGCGTCGACTACGACGACGACAGTGACGGCGGTGATGACGAAGATGAGCGACGACGACGACGGCGGCTGCCTCTGAAGGTATACAGAGGTCTCTGGAGGCCTCAGGAGATCTCCACAGGCCTCTGGAAGCGCCTCAGGCCCTGCGAGGCCCTCGCCTCCCGTCGCGATTTTGTTCACAGCGCGAGGGGCTCTGGGGTGGGGGTTGGCCGAGCAGGGGGGGAGCGAGGGCACTCCTCTTGCCGTCGCCGCTCTGCAGGAAGGGGCCACCGATGGCCACCTCCTTGACGACGGAGAGGCCGTTCGTCACCGGGGTCGGGGCGTAGCGGGCCTGGATCCAGACCTCGGGGAGGAGAAACGGCCAGACCCCCCATGAGGGATGAACCTAGGAGGGGATTAGGGTCCTCTTCATTCTTTTCCTCCTTCTCCTCCTCCTCCTCCGTCTCCTCCTCCTCCTCCTCCTCCTCATCCTCCTCCTTCTCCTCCTCCTTCTCCGCGCGACGAGAGGCGTTCGGCGATTTCGGACTTGGGGAGGGCGTCGCTGGGCCCCTGGGTCGCCACAGAACGCCTGGCAAGACGGAGCCAGGACGAAGACAGCATCGGGTGGGGATGAATCGAGAATCTCTGAGATCCGGCGGTTCCGGTGGATATCTCGAGCGCCACGCCGCAGGCCTCCTCAGGGCGTTCCGGAACGCTCTGAGAGCGTCCCAAAGGGCTCTGGCACGGACTTTCCTCGCCCGAGCCCCTAACTCACGACGGGAGGCGTTCGGCTACTTTCGGCCCCTGGGGGGGGGGGTCCTCCGCTCACTCCTCCCTCCTCCTCCTCCTCCTCCTCCTCCTCCTCCTCCTCCTGCACCACCTCCTCTTCCTCCTCCCTCTCCTCCTCCTCCTCCTTCTCCTCCTGCCCATGCCATGCACCGGCTCCGGCTCATTCGACCTCCCCTGGGATTCGACGTTGCGAAATCATTGCAACGACGCAGAACTCGCCATCGCTCGGACGTCCATTCCCCATGCATGTTTCGGAATCGTGCATTTCTTCTTTCGTAAGATGAGCCAAAATGCTCCTCGATGGTCCTCGCCGAAATAGTGTACACGTCCGAGCGATGTCAAGAAAACCATGGAAGCCCCAGATCGCAGACGCCACCTGTCTGCAGCCATGTTCAAGCTCGATGGTCCTGGGGTCTGCACTCGGGCAAGAAAACCCAATATGAAAAATTACAACGCCCGATGCTCAGGAACTCCCGACTATAGAGCTCCGAACTCCTCCCGGGCCAAACGCGCAAATTTTCTCTGAGCTGCGCCTAGCCGTTGCGACGAGGGACCCCCGCCCCCGAAGTCTAACTACCGTCAAGTCAAACGTGTCCCTCTACAAGACGAAAATTCAAAAATAGGCAACAAAAAAACAATATGGGGACGTTGTTTTGACTATTGTTGGGTATGTTGTTGAATCTTGTGTTGACTAGTCGTAAAATCCGCCTGTAGGGGGATATGCCCGACCTAAAACTACAGGTGCCTCAACTCGACCTCCTCTGATTCTATCGGGGGCGCGCAGACATGGATTAGCGATGCATGGATTTGGCGCGCGGTCGCCAAATCCATGCAGGCCGGCAAATGCGGCCGGCGCCGCCTCGTTCGGAAGCGAAAGTCCTAGATTTCCTATGGAAGCGGGGCCCGTCGCTGATCCACGCCCACTTGATCCATGCTTGCGATTGCCTGACTCTAACCCCCCAGCCATTCCCAACTGACCGTGGAGCTCCTCACCAGCCAGTACTCCCCGGCGCTGTAGAAGGACGCGTGCGTCCCGTCAAACGTCTTCACGTGGGGGTCGCCGAACACCCGGCACACGCCCCGTGGGCCCACGGGCGGCGGCGCTGGCGTGGGCGCGGCCGTGACCTGCTCAGAATAGGCAACCATGAACTACAGCCAAAACGTGTATGGAGGACGAGTGGTAAGGACGCAAGACCCCTGTGATCGTTTCTTATTCGGCGTTCCGACATTGGGCAGAAGGGGGGGAGGGGGGGTCTGGCTCCAGGCCTCTGCTCAGTGCGACTGTTTGCAGCAGTGCGTCCTATGGGGGGAGACTCTACCTGCTCGAAACAGGCGCCAAAAACAGCCAAGATCCACTGCGGGGAGGGAGAAAGGGGGGGCGAGAGCCCGCGCCGATCGGCAAAACAATGAATAAGAAAACGATCACTGGAGGCCGAAGTTATGATTGTTTGGGTGGCGGGTGACCAATGAAAACGGCAAAGGGCGGGCCGTAGAGGCAAAGGCACAAGGATATCCGCTGACTGTACCATCCTGCCCTCAGATCTGGGCGTCGCATGTTTTTCGCACTGGGCGTGTTCACCCGGTTTCCGGCCCTGCGACCCTCACAGATCGACCTGGCTCGAAGCATGCTGCAGAAAGATGTGGTCTAGGGCTCCGCTCGTGAATTTCGCGATGTTGCAGTTTCCTCGCAGCGTCGGATCTCAGGGTGGCCAGGGTCGTCCTGGGCCCCGGACTGTGTGCACGCACTCCTGGCCGAAGACAGGAGGGTCCATGCACCGTCGGTGGACCTAGGGCCCAAACACACAAGGCGACGGCAAACTTCTGGCCGATTCCGACCTCAGGAGGCCCTCGCCGGGCCCAGGGGCCGTCAACCAACAACCCAGGATGAAACACCTGACCTTGAGAGGAGAACATTGTTCACTCGCAGCGATAGCGGGCGTCATTGGGGGGGAGAGTGGGGGGGCGGGGAGGGGGCATAACGTAACGCCCCGCCCCCCACTGTGACAGACTGTGGTGCCGGACGCACTGCGGCAGTGCTGGGGACGCACTGGGGGGGTGGGGGGGCGTTACGTTGCGGGGGGGCGGAAGGGAGGGGCATAACGCGCGTTATGGCCCAGAGGTTTACAAAAACACTCTCCAGAGAGTCGGAACTTCTGAGGACCCCGTATTCAAAAACAAATCGCATGGTGCCTAGGTCCTGCATGGGCCCTGTGCGGTGTGCACGCACTTCTGGCCAGAGACGGCATCTTCCATGCACCGTCCCCAGACATGCGATGTCTGTCGATACTAGAGGAACAGAAAACGGCATAAACATCAACTTTCGACGGTCCGCCTGGACTTCTTGGATCTGCGCGGAGCACGCCAAGGACGGCGCCAGAAGCGACGCCAGGGGGGCCCAACGCCGATCTCAAAAAATCCGCGCGGAGCTCCGAAAGCTTACGTTTAACCAGCTCTTCTTCTGCGAGATACTAAACTAAGTCCGCTGAAGTCCAGACCCTTTTGCAACAATGCCAGTGTCTCATCCCGTACCGTTTTCTGACGGTCTGGGGCTCTGGCGATGGCCCTCGCAGGGGCCGAAAACAGTGGAAAATCTGCCTGGAGGGATTCGCTGACGGTCAAGCCGCATACAGCCGGACCAAGGATATAATCCGCCTGCCCCCCTGCGGGGCCATCAGGCTGCGAGGCTTGGTCTTGCTGCTCCCTGCGCCAGTTCCAGTTTCCAGTTTCCAATGATGTTACAATATTGCGTTCTGCTTCTCACTGTGCATTGTTACTGTCCGCACGAGGGGGGTGAGCCGAAAACCAGCTCGGCTAGCGTCCCTGAATCAATTCATCAGAATTTCTGGGGGGCGCAGGGACAAGTAAAAATACATGAGATTCGCGCTCCCGACGCAAGAATCCCTCGTACATTACACTGTATTCGCGCCCCCGAGGCCAAGATCCCTCGTAAATTATTTTGTATTCGCCACGATCAACAATAACATACACTGTGTTCATGCTCCTGAGGCGACGATGCCCCTGTAAATTACACAACATTATCGCCTCTGGGGCTATGATTCTTTGTAAATTACGCCACGTTCGCGCCCCCGAGGCCACGATCTCCCGCAAATTACGCCGCATTCGCGCCCCCGAGGCCACGATCTCTTGCAAATTATACGACATTCGCGCTCCCGAGCCCATTCCGCGTAAATAAAACTACATTCGCGCCCCCGAGGCTCAGAGTAGCCCCCAGGAGGCCCCAAGAGGCCGTCAAGAAGCCCCAGGCCCTAAGAGACGCCCACGACGCGCCCAACAGGCCTCCAAGAAGCCCGAAAGATACCTCACGAGGCCCCAAGAGGCCCCCAAGAGGCGCCCAAACCGCCTCCAAGGGGGCCCCGAGAGGCTCCCCACGTTACCCCAACACATGTACAAGAGGCCTCAGACCCACAACCCAGGTGGCGGGATGGGCCGAAGGACACTAGGATCCGCCGCCCCCTGTTGATTCATCACAAGGGTTCCTGGAGTGCTGAACCCTTTCGCTTTTGGTGCCGGTTCTTTTCCAAAAGAACTCTCTCTGGGGCTCGGGCCCAGCCCGCCAAGGTCCCAGAAAGGCCCAGAAAGCTCAATTAAAGGTGGTTGCAAACCGTTCTCCTGGCCCAGACGGCTCTAAGACGGCTCGAGATGGCCTTCAAGATGCATCCAAGACGGCAAAGATGGCCTCCAAGATGGCTAAGATGGCCCCAAAATGCATCCAAAGACGGGCCAAGATGCACTCAAGACGGCCTAAGGTGGCCTCAAAATGGCCCAAGACGGTCCAATAAGCCCCCAAGAGGTCGCCAATACGGCCCAAGAGGCCTCCAAGAGGTCCTCCAGAAAGGCCCGAAAGGGCAAACATCATTGATCTGCCTTAAGTGTTTGAAGGATTTTGGCATTGGCGCCTTTTGGGCGTTCCGTCGGCCCAAGATGGGCCAAGACGTCCCCAAGGTCGGCCCAAGATTGCCCAAGAGGCCTCCAAGATTGCCCCATGACGGCCCAAGTCAAGAGGGCCCCAAGACGGCCCAAGATGGTTCCAGAGAAGCCCAAGATGGCCTCCAAGACGGCCAAGATGGCCTCCAAGATGCCTCCAAGACGGCCAAGAAGGCCTCCAAGACAGCGAAGATGGCCCTAAGATGTACCCAAGACGGCACCAGATGGGCTCAAGATGGCCTTAGACTGCCCAGAAGGCCCGCAAGAGGCCTCCAAGACGGCCCAAGAGCCCTCCAAGGCGTCCTCTAGGAAGGCCCGCAAGGGTCAACATTGCCCCCAGACGGCCAAGATGATCTCTAAAATGCTTCGAAGACGGCCAAAATGGCCTCCAAGACAGCGAATATGGCCCCAAGATGCACGCAAGACTGCCCAAGATGGCCTCAAGATGGCCTAAGACGGCCCAGAAAGGCAACGAAAGATCCCTCCAAGATGGCCCAGGATGGCCTCCAAGACTGGTCCCACGACGCCTCCAAGACGGCCAATATATGGCCCAAGATGGCCTCCAAGATGCGTCCAAGTTCGGCCACATAGGCGCTTCCAAAAGGGCAGGGGTCGGCGCCGACTCGCCATAGGCGTCTTCGATCCGACGCCCCCTGTTGATCTATCATAAGGGGTGCCTGGCGTGCCAAATCCTAGACGGTTTTCGCTCTTGTAGAAAACTCACTGGGGCTTCGGCCCGTCCCGCCGGCCACCCGAAGAGATCCCAAACTGCACATGTCAATGCCTTTCATGCCCAAGATGGCCCCAAATGGACTCCAAGATGCCTTCAAGACGGGCACGATTGCCCAAGATGGCCTCCAAGTACGCCAAAGATGGTCCGAAATGGCTTCCAAGAAGGCCCAAGAGAGTCTGAGATGCCTTCAAGATCGTCCAAGAAGCCTCCAAGACGGCCCAAGATGGCTCCAAGATGGCCGAAGACTGGCCAAGAGGCCCCCAAGAGGCCTCCAAGACGTCCTCCAGGAAGGCCCGAGAGGGCAAAATCATTGACTTGCCTTAAGTGTTTGAAGGATTTGGGCAGTTTCTTCTGATCAGCGCTCCGACGGCCCAACACGGCCCAAGAGGCCCCCAACCTCGGCCCAAGAGCGCCCAAGAGGCCTCCGAGATGGCCCCACGAGAGCCCAAGAGGCCCCCAAGAGGGCCCTAAGAAGAGCCCAAGACGGCCCAAGATGGTTCCAGAGAAGCCCAAGATGGCCTCCAAGACGGCCAAGATGGCCTCCAAGATGCCTCCAAGACGGCCAAGAAGGCCTCCAAGACATCGAAGATGGCCCCAAGATGCACCCAAGACGGCCCCAGATGGGCTCAGGATGTCCTTAGACTGCCCAAAAGGCCCGCAAGAGGCCTCCAAGACGGCCCAAGAGCCCTCCAAGGCGTCCTCCAGGAGGCCCGAAAACTCGAAAACCACCTGGTCCGATAGCTCGCCCCACTCCGTGTTCCCCGAAGGCTCTCGAAACCCACTCGGGGAACGCGTGGCCCGATAGCGTGGCCAAGCTCAAGCCCAACTTTCGGCCACGCAGGCGCTTCCAAAAAGGCAGGGGGCGGTGGTGATTCGCCGTAGGCGTCTTCGATTACGCCAACGTTTCAATATGCGCTGATGACTCTTATCCGCCCCCGCATGCTGTTCCCAAATGCGCCAAGGCAGCGCCGAGACGCACCGTCGCGACTCCGCTATATCCCATTATGATAAAGAAGGGGCCGGCGGCAGGGGGCGAAGCCCTTGCGGACAACATCGCTTAAAACACGAGACCCTCCGCCGGCCAAACTGAAGAACATTCGAGGGCGCCCTCCCCAAGGATGCACAAGAGCGCCCAACAAACATGAAAACCACAAGGGTACCCTTCTCGAGCCGACCTCGATCGTATACCTCGCTCCGACCGTAAGAAGGATGCGTGATAAGGATGCAAGGGCCTTGGAAGGTCATGTTGATATTTTTCGCGCGGTGGGCGGCTAGCGAAACTTGCCAAGCATGGGACGAACGGGCGGAAATGCCAGGGCAACGTTGGAACGTTGCTCATCCTTACTTTGCGGGTGGACCATATTGCGTTTCGCTCGAGGGTTCCAATGATGACGAAAAACGCATGGGAGACGGAACCCGATGACGCCCGGGTCCAACAACCGCTTCGCCCGAGACGCGCAATTCATTCGAGAGTCGTGCTCTCGCCTCAGTGCCGGCTGCATGTTTGGTCCGGACGGCCACGACCCCGTGTGGAAAATGCAATGAAATGCGCATTGATGGCCGCGCGTTCCCTAGAAATCCATATGAGGACATCCAAGTACGCGCTTTCACTCGCCGACGTCCTACTCCTCGACCCACCTCACTGTTGCTGCTATGAGGGTGCTGTGCAAGACTAACTTGACCACGAGAGCATGTCTGAGCCGGGGGGTGGCCAGGATAGCCTTGACAAGGCATGGTGGTGTTCTTATGCCTCCTGCGGGCCGACCGGTATCGGCGGGCTGGTCGGCGGCGGCGTCAGCGGTGGGGGGCTCGGCGTAGGCGCGGGAGTTTGCTCCTCGGCAGCGCGCAAGCCCGGCCTTCCCCGTCACGAAAAGGACCCGGCAATGCAGGTTCAATCATGACTATAGCCAGCGTGGACCCCACACGGTATGATTCCACAAATATAAGCATATACGCACATCTGTATATATATATGATGAGAAAAGCTATCCATGGTTGCGGAGCTAACTATGTGGTCAATCAATGTGGTGCATTTGATGTTTTAAACTCGAACTGACACATTCCACGGTTTTGCAAACATCCCACCCACCCACCCGCAACTTGGGTTGCAAAACCTATGAGGCGGCGATTGCGATGAAAGCTTGGCGTTGGTTGGTGCATCTCTGCGGCCGCGCCAACCCAAACACGCGCGCGCGCAATGGCTTGCTAGTTTGGCGCGACCGACGCGGCCGCGGTTGCGCTGACCGCTGAGCACATCCCAACGGGCACTCCAGTGCGAGTTGGCGACTTGGACGGACGCAGTATTATGGCAGCGTCGACAACGGTAGACACGATGATGATAGCAGCGATGCTGGTGGCAACGTTGGAAAAGACGACTGCGCGGCCAGTGACAGCACCGATGCTGATCACGCCAGCGACGATGACGGTGCCCTCGCGTCGGTAATGAAGGTCTTGTAAGGAGTTCGACATCCGCGCGCGGCCGACCCGCGAGAGTGGCCCGCATGGTTTTATTTGACAAAAATCGTGCCCCCCGGCCTCGAGGGCCGTCAAAGGCCCCCCAAAGGTTTTCAAGAATAGCGGAGCCCCGCCGTGGTCGTGTTCCTGACCCGAGGGGCTCTGGGCTCTGTGTGGCCTGCCCCTGCTCATGTGGACGCCCACCATGGGCACGGAAACAACATGTACAATGTCGAGCCACAAATGCTGGCCAAAACCGACAGCGGCCGCTGTTCGGCAGGCGGCTGCTTGACGTCAAGGAACGACGTCCGCGGCGGCGCGGACAGCGAGTCCTGTTCAAAATGAGCAGGAACTGCTGTTGGGCATCCTGCCCTCAGGTCGGGCGTATCCCCCTACATGCGGATCTTGCAATACAAAAAAACGCTGCAAAAGAATACGCAAGAATAGCCGAAACAAATTAAAAAAAAGCGTTCCCTGACGATCTGTTTCACTATCTCTGAATTGGCCCCCTGTAGAGGGGAACGCCCGACTTCACCGCATCCATTCCGAACGCCCCGAGAGTCCCTGGAAACTCTGCGGGAGCTGATGATGGGCCGCTTTTCCACCACAGCTACCACATCTATAGGTCGGCGGCGGAGGCGGAGGAGGAGGGGGAGGGGGAGGCAGAGGAGGGAAAGGAGGAGGAGGAGGAGGAGGAGGAGGAGGAGAAGGAGGGGGACCTCCCCATCCTCCCTTCCCCCCCGTCCTGCCTACGATCGTGGTGGTGGGCACTTGGCCCATCAGCTCACGGCGGTGGGCGCGCGGGCCGCCGAGGGGTGCCGCCTCGCCGCTCCGCTGCGGGGCCCCTGCAGCGGCCCGCTGCCCGCCACAACCTTCGAAGCGAGAGCCGCGCCGACGGGCCCCGGGGCACCGACTCGCTCGGCCGCCCCGCTGGGGGCCCGAGCCTCGGCCCCGACCGAGCTCGGGCCCGACCGAGCTCGGCCCTGGCCAGACTCCTCCTCCTCCTCCTCCACCTCCTCCTCCTCCTCCAGAACTGCTCAATATGAATACTACTATCCCTCTTCCCCTAATGACGGCCTGGGAGTGTCCGCCCCCCCCCCGCGCACTGTTTTTTTACACACATATTTCCCTGGAGTTGGGTTTTCGCCTGCATGTTTTTTCGAAATGCTGCTCTCGCTGAGGCGCCGGCCTCATTTTCGGGCCCCGCTCGTTCCGAATCGTGCTCCCGCTGCAGCGCTGGCCTCATTTCCGTGCTTCCGCTCGTTCCGAATCGTGCTCCCGCTGCAGCGCTGGCCTCATTCCCGCGCTTCCGCTTGTTTCGACTCCTGCTCCCGCTGCAGCGCTGGCGTCATTTCCCGTGCCATGCCACGGCATGCACTGCAATGCTAGGTTGATACTACGCTTTGCGGTGCTCTTCTACGCCATGCCATGCCGTGCTCTACAGTTATCCCTGATCACCCCCTGCGGCCACCCCTTGCCCTGATCGTTCGGGGCTCTGGCAGCCGGTCCTAGGATTAGGTCGGGCAAAAATGGTAAACATGACATTTGTTTATTAAACAACTAAAAGAACAGTCGTCCCCAGACGATGTTTCACAATCTTTGAATTTTCCTCCTGTAGAGGGACACGCCCGACCTAATCCTAGGACTGGGTCGAGAAGGGCCCTCACGCCGCGAGCACTGAACGCACGAGGTCGCAGGCTTGGGAGAGGGGGGGGAGAGCATCGCGAGAGAGGCAGCCTTGCAGGGAGGCCCCCTGTCTCCCAGGCGTGCGACGCCTTGACTTTTTCAGTCCGTGGTCCTCACGCGTCTCCACCTCTGCCCCAGGGCCGCACTGTCAGCTGCACTCGCTTTCTGGAGGTCCCGGGGCCTAATTAGTGAGGGCTCCGAAGGGTTAGCAACGGCCTCAAGCCGCCCGTCGTGGGCTGTTCACGAGGCGAGCATGTCTGGGCGTGAAGCACGGTGGGCTCCAGCAGGCGCCCCCCCTTCTCAAATGGTCCCCGCCTGCTGGGAAGGCTAAAACGACGCGAAGATCGGGACAAAATCGGATCGGGATAATTCAAAATCTCTGAGAATCGGCGGGTTTGGAGGATGTATTGGGCGCCGCGGCCGCTCCACAGCGTTCTGGAACGCTCTGAGAGCGCTCTGGAACGCTCTGGAGCGATTTATCCCAATCCTTGCCCTGTTTTAAAGGCCCCCAAGGCCCCCCATTAGCGAGCCGCCCATGGTCCGGCGGCGGGGTCACCGAGACGGTGGGCGTCTGCGTGGTGGTGCTGGTCGTCGTAGTGGTCGTGTTGTCGAAGAAGAGGGGCAGCAGGAGCAGGGGCAGCAGCCTGGGACGAGTGGGAGGACGCCGCCGACGCCAGCCACCCCACGAGAGAGGGATGGGTGAGGACGAGGAGGAGATGAGTGGGAGGAGAAGAATAGGTAGGGGGCCCCTAAACGGTGCGGTGACAGACCGTGCGTGACATCGGGCCCCCCCCCCCCAAGGCCTCACTGCACAGTCCGTCACCGCACGGCCCTGGAGACCTTGGAGACCCCAAGCGCCCGAGACGCTTCCGGAGAACGGCCCATGTCACAAAACTGGGGGGCCACCCCGAATCCTCCTTGACTCACCATGCGGCATGGGGTATGGTCACTGCGCCGTTCAGGGGCCCCCGGATACGACGGGAGACGGAGGCAATAGCGGGAGATGGGCAGGGAGGGGACGACAAGAGAGACGAGAAACAACACACAGAACCAATGATGTAGGCGCCGCGGAGCGCCATAGGGGCGGCTCCAGAGGCGCCGCCAAAGGGGCGGAACGCCGATCCGAGAAATATGCGCGGACCTCCGAAATTGTATGTATATGCCGTGGTTCTCCTTCGATCCCAGCAACTGCAAGCAAGACACACTGATCCCCCCATCGACGAGCGAACAGCACGAACCCATACCCATAGGGGGGGTGGAGGGGGCTGCTGAAGGTGCGTGTTGTCACATGGGGATCACCGCTCGAACGAGAGCCTTCCCCGGTATCCGACGACCTGCTCCCATACCTTTAGCCAGTCCTCCTCCCTCCAACCCCCTATGGTTATGTGGGAGGGGCCCGATGTATTATGTATAAGAAACGTCGTTTGGTCGGCCCTGGAGTTCGGTGCATGGACGCCCCATGTGCCCAACCTGTGGGACGCTGGAGCTTATAAACACCAAACTCCTGCGCCGAACTCGCTGGCCCCTTGGCCGACCAAACGGCGTGGTGTAAACATCCAGCCCCTCCGAGTATGGATGTGTTGAGTAGGGCTGGGGGGTCAGGTCTGCAGAACACCCCAAACAGACGTCAAGGGACGCAACCAACCTGTTCGGTCAAGCTGAAATTGATGCACCACACCCGGCGTGAAGCCAAAACTTTGAACATAAGCGAACGGTTGGACTCTGCACATCTTCGTCGGCGTAAGCGGCGAGGCGTTTGACCACCTTGACGTTCCTTTTTTGGTGGTCCTGCAGAGGAAGGCGCTCTCTGAACCTCGAACCTACTCAAGGATGTGTTGGGCGCCCGAATTATCCGGGGTAACTCGGGTCCGGGGTAACTCGGGCTTGGATTCCCGAAAAAGGAACCCGAGTTAGCCGTGACCCGAATTACCCCTGATGATGTGGGGCTCTGGACGCCCGAGTTATCCGGGGTAACTCGGGTCCAGGGTAACTCGGGTTCGGATTCCCGAAAAACGAACCCGAGCTAACCCTGACCCGAGTTACCCCTGATGATTCGGGGCTCTGGATGTGTGTCGTTGGATCGTGGCACATGCCTTCCACTCCCCGCCCCCCCCGAGGTGGCAACCACAGCAGGCACAGGGACCACCAGCAGCTGCAGCCGCCCGTGGCCGCCGGCACGGGGAAGAGGGACACGTTGCCGGCGCCGTAGCCCACGTACCTGAACACTCCGCCAACCACTCTGTCTCCTAATCCTTCTCCTGAGTTGAGGCGCCCCAGAGCTACAGCACCTCAAGTCCTCCTCCTCCTCTTCCTCCTCCTTCTCCTCCTCTTCCTCCAACCCCTCCTCCTCATCCTCCTCCTCCTCCTTCTCCTCCTCCTCCTCCTCCTCCTTCTCCTCCTCCTCCTCCAACTCTTCCTCCTCCTTCTCCTCCTCCTCCTCCTCCTCCAACTCCTCCTCCAACTCCTCCAACTCCTCCTTCTCCTCTTCAGCCACCTCTCTAAACCCTCGTGCTGTGCCTCCTTATCACCATCGACCACCGCCCTCCTCCTTCTATCCTCCTCCTCCTCCTCCTCCTCCTCCTCCTCCTCCCAACATCGAATCGGAAGATCGAATCGGCCGTCGAAATGTTTTGAACCGGCATGCCCAAGTCAAGGCATACACGAGGAACTCCAAACCAACGTTTGAATCCAGAATCGAATCGAAGTGAGATCGCAATCCTCGAAACCTAATCGATTCGAACCGACAGGGTCGAAAAGGCTCCTGCGTAAGGTCGGCGGCGAGCGGGAGGGGAATGAGAAGGGGGAGGCCTGTCTCAGAATGCTCGGACGCCCCCCGGCCTTCTGAGAAGCTTTCTGAGCATTCCCCGAAGATGCACAAAACATGTCTCAAAGGCGCGAGGGCTTCTGAGAAGTCACGCCGCCTTCTGAGAAGGCTTCTACTTCTCACTTCCCCCCTCGCTTGCTGCCGGTGGCGAAATCCGCACCCCCCCCGCCTGGGATGCGGGGGTAGGGCAAGGATTTTGCCACAAAAACGACAGATTCCGAACCCAAACCCCCGCCGCCCGTCGGGTGGCCTGAATCTTCCGTGGCAACTCATGGGAGCCTCCTATGCCATCTACTGGCTCTTGCCTGTCGGGGATGACCAATGCACATCGACGCTAAGAAGCGCTAAGTTGACGCTTATCTACGCTAAATAGGCGCCTTCTCGTCGACTACCAGACGCCAGCACACGCTCACCCACGCACTCGAAGGACGGCATTGCGAGGACACGCAAGGCCCCCATGGGGTTGCCTTAGACTGAATCGTTGATCGGCGAGGGTAGGGTCCTGATTGCGCCACCGACGTGGAGACCAACAGGCACCGGCATCGCTGCTCCCTGGACCTCTGCTGGGGTGCGCTCTGACCAGAGGTTCGAGGTGCATCCAGCGGTGGCGACGAGGGCCTTCCGGGAGGCCCAAAAAGGTTGTGGATGTCACGACAATGGACACCCTAACAATCCTCTCATCGAATTACACATGTGTTCACCATGTCGGAAACCTGTCCTAAAAATGTTTCAGACATGTTTGAAGCAATTTCAACATGTTCTAGACAAGCCATTTGGCAATTTGGAAGCAATTTGGCAACGTGCTTCCTCTCCATTGTGATCGTCTTCCACCACAGAAAAGGGAGACGAGGCACGGGGGAGGAGGAGGAGGAGGAGGAGGAGGAGGAGGAGGACGAGGAGGAGGATGAGGATGAGGAGGAGGAGGAAGAAGTGGAGGAGGAGGAGGAGGAGGAGGAGGAGGAAGAGGAGGAGGAGGAGGAGGAGCCTTCCCCCCGCGCTGCGCCGATGGAGGCGCGCGCCTGTAGGACGTGGTCGCCACGTAGTCCCCGCAGCCCTCGGGCACCACGCCGTAGGTCCACCCGCCCACGCCCGTGCCTGGGGCGCCGGGGCGCGGGCCCCCTCCGGCGGGGGTGTGCGGCCCGCTGGCCCTCGCTCGGACGTCCATTCCATGTGTTCTTTTCGGTTTTGGGCGTGGCTTGTTTCGCCGAGTGATCAAGGATGCTCCTCGATGGTCCTCGCCGAAGGAGAAATGCACACGTCCGAGCGACGCCACGCCAGAGGCCCGCCCGCCACGGGCATCGGAAGTACTGGAAGCCCCGCTGGGGGGGGGTATAAGCGGAGGGGGACTGTTGGCGGCGCGCCCAAGAGGGGTAGGGATGAGGGGGGAGGGCTTCTTGGAAGGAGGCTGCTTCTGAGAAGGCGCAAGCCTTGCATCTATAGAGAAGGCCCGCGCCTTCTGAGAAGCAGGGGTGCTTCTAAGAAGCCCTCCCCCCTCCCCCCACCCCCCTCTGCGCGTGGCTGAGATTGGGGGAAATGCTGAGGGGATGGGCATGGGGTGGGAGGTTCGAATACGGAAACAAGAGCGGCATGACCATTTGGAGCTCCGCGCGGATGCCTTGGATCGGCGCTGGGGCCCCCTGGCGGCGCCACCGCGGGCCAGGGAGGAAGATTCAGCGTCGATCCAAGAACTGCGGGCGGAGCTCCGACAGCTTATGTTGTGCAGTTGTTGTATTATTTGATAGAAGCGGATTTCAGGGTGGGATGCATCTGGCCGAACCTTTCCTGTGAGTGTTGCACTGGTGACCCATACGTGGTTTAGCCCGGCACGGATCTGCTCTTTGTTGGCGGAGCCCTCTCAGCGAAAGTATCGAATCACCTTGGGACTATTTGGTGCACAGGCAGCCCACTCATGAGCTCACAAGGTAGGTCAGGCCAGAGATCACCCACTGTAGCATCTACTCGTAAGCCCACTGCCTCTTTGGCAACCCCTGCAGTGGTCTCAGTAGAGAACGTGTTCTCAATATTTCACGATCGCGTCTTTTACCAGCCACGGAGCCCCCACCCGAGGTGAAGTCACAGTTCGTGCCGACCTTCGAGCTGTCCCTGGTGATTCCTGGGACATCTCCAGTCGCCGACAGCGCGAGGCGTGACGTTAACGCCCCCCCCCCACTCTCCCTCCCCCCCCCGGTAACGCCGCTAACGCCCGCCATCGCCCAAGAAGAAGACGACAACGCGCTCATAGACACCCGGGAACCTTTCTGCTCGGCGCGCCGCGGCGGCCCCAGCGGCACGCTAATGTTATGCCCTGCGCGCGTAGGTAGCGCGTCGCTCCGTTGCGCAGGGCGGGAGGGTGGGAATAGATGCCTCCTAGATGGGGTCGGAATATGAACAAAAACTGCAACAAAAAGTGTGATGCAAAACATGTTTGTTCACACTTGTTGATTTATCCCGCTTGTTTTTATCACACTTGTACACATGTGTTTTACCACAATTGTTCATCACAATTTTTATCACACTTGTCCGGAGTCGAAAAATCGCGCCGCATCGCGGATGCATCGGCGACGTCGACGTGAAGCAAATCGGGCTGCACGTCGAGCCGCACCGGCGGATGCATCGGCGATGCGGTGCGATCCTCCGACCCCATCCGGGAGGCCCAGAGGGAAAGGCTCTCGGGACGTCGATGCCTGGGGACCGGCACGGGACAGACATGCCCGCGCGCGGTACAATGGCGGGAGATGTTTGGGCCATGTTCGGTCCCCACGGGGGCCCCTGCCGGGCCCAAGGACCGTCCACGAGCAACTCGGGAGGAGAAGCTGGTCCCAGGGAAGGGGTCGAGACCTCTGGGGGCCCACGCGGTGAACAAGATGATGACGTCGGGGGCCTGAGGTGGTCCTCTCCCCAGGCGAAAACGAGACCAGGGTCGGGGCAGCATCGGATCAGGATGGACCAGGGATCTCTCAGAACCGACAGTCCTGAACATGTATCTGGACGCGTTCTGGAGCGCTCTGGGAAGATCTATCCTCCGTCATGGCCCGCCCGACGTCCGTTCCCAAGGCAACTGAGGTACGGTTTTCTTTCTCGCAGCGAGGAACACACAGTACGTCGCCCATGCATCTGCTGGGGAGACGTACGACTCAGGTTCGGGGGACTCGGGTTAGCCTGGCGGGGCCACCAGGAAAATTACGAAACCCAATCCGAAATATGACACCGTCAAGATCCAGGACGTGACCTGTCAGAAAAGCGTCGACAAACCCGATCTCCGACGAACTCGAGCCTCACGTTTCCCCGAGCGAAGCACGCGAAGCGCTGCTGATGCATCTGCGATGCGGAACGCTTCTCTGGTCTCTGGGTAAATCAGAAGGCATCAGCACCGCTGCTCCGCCACTCCACGGACCTCTCCTGGGTTGCGTTCTGGCCCGCATCTCGAGGCGAATCCGGCGGCGGCGACGAGGGCCTCCCAGGATGCCCCCCCAAGAACGGGAAAACGAGGCAATGCTAGCGGTATGGGTACCTCTTCTCCTTCTCTGAGGTGCATCTGCCAGGCGGCTCGCTCCTCTGGCGCCCGCCGCCCGCCTTTCTCGCGGGGGCGCGTGCGCCTGCGCCTCCTCATGCCGTCGGCCCTTCCCCCCCCCTTCTCTGGCCCCGCTGTAGAGGGCAGATCATCTACCCCCAAAATTGAAAAATGGCCCAATCAATAACAGAAATAATCGAAAAGTAACAGAAAAACCGTCCCCATATCATCTTTGGAATAGTCTTGAAAATTCCTCCTGTGGAGGGGCGTACCCGCATTAACGCTTGCAGCTGTACGTCCGACCATCCTGCCATCGTCACGAGCGGCCCCGAGAAGGCCTGCCAGCTAGACGCAGACATCCAAAAATAATCAAAATAATACCCCCAAGAAGTGAAAAATGATTGAACAATCGTCCCCAGACAATATTATTACTATTTTTCAACGTTCCTCCTGTAAAAGGACATGCCCGACCTAACCCAAGGGTTCAGCGACGATGTCTTCCCCGCCTGTCGCCGGGCTGGCTCCGCAAATGGGCCCCAATGGCGTGGACGGCGACACATTGATCCGCGACTGAGTCGGCACTCGTCTTGCCCTGCGCAGCAATCCAAAGCTCTGTAGCTGCTCTAAATCTCGAGATCAAGTCCGTTAACGGAACGCACGCTAAAAAAGTGTCGGCACGACGTCGGTTGGCCAAGTGTGTCTGATAGTAATACCGCAGCTGCGGACCGGCAGCTGCGACAGAACAATGCTTCATGATTCGCTGCACTGGGAAAATATTGGCTCGTCAACCCACTGCTCAAATCACGACCAGTCTTAGCCAAACCGAGCCCGCCATGGGCCTCACCACCGAGCACGCGCAGCACGTGGGGTCTACCAGGCTGGCGCTGGCTCCACTCCTCCGGCGGTCGGGCCACAAGCCACACACTGGCGCACGCTCGCACGGCCGTTGGCGAGGCGGCCCGCGTCGCGCGGGTGGTCCCAGAGGCGGCGCCGCCCGTCGCGGCGCTCTTGGGGGGCTCTGGCCGGCTCCCCGCGGGCTGCCGCGCAGAGGGGGGGGCGAGAAGGCTCCAGGGGAAGTGGCCGTGCGATACTTCGTGGCCACTGGCTGGCTGGACGCGCTGTTGCGCAGGCCTCCGCGCGGCGGCACCGACTGCGGGGCGCTGCTCCCTTCGGTCAGGGCGGTCCCGCATGTGATGCCCAGCGGGCGGCCCCCCGCAGCCGTGCGCGTCGAGTTTGACGCCTCGCCCTGGGGCGGGGGAGGGGGCAGTGTTCGCCCAGGGCATTCTGCAGCATTTTTTAATCCAGTGGGGTGAACGCGTCTTGCAGTACTTCGGAGCCGAACTTGCCAACCCGAAGTGGCAGACTGTATGGGGAATGCTGACGCTGCTACAAATTACCGTTCCTAGTTTGGAGCACGCACGCAACAAAATGGTCTCTCACCCTGCACGGGGACAACATCCGTGCCCTTCAGGGTGCGCCCTCGCTCAAACGCCACGGGCACATGCTGGCCATTGCTGGAGACATTGTTTGGGCCAAAGCCCGCTTCCGCTGGCAGGCCCGCTTCCGCTGGCAATTCGACGTGGCGCACCTGCCCAGCGAGCTGAACCAAGTCGCGGACGCCTTGTCCTGGTTGGCGGCCGTCCCGCCGGAGACCTCGCCGAGGGTCCTCAAGGAGCATTGCTGTCTCCGCCGCGAGGTGCCACGCCGGGGCGAGATACGGCAGGCTTGGATGGGAAGTTCCCCGCCAAAGAAGGCAGCCACGGCGTGATGACGCCTGGGCCTGGAGATCGGTATCCCTCCAGGCCCAGATATGTTGTAAGGACATCGGTCTGGCAAGCTGGGGCGGGAAGATCCACATCCCAAGTGGCTGCCACGTCGCGGTGGCACCTGGGCCTGAGGATTGGTGTCCCTCCAAGCCAAAAATTGTTGTTCGAGGACGTTGGTCTAGATTTAGGTCGGGCACTTCCTCCTACAAGCGGATTTTGGAAGAACTATAAAAATTGCCGACAAATGGTCGAACATTAATCAGACAAACGAAATATCGTCACCTGACAATTTCTGACCATTCTTGGATATTCCTCCTGTAGAGGGACATGCCCGACTTGAGCCTAGATCAGCACGGCCGCCCTTGGCAGCGATCGAGTGATAGGCTGCCAACGGGGATGCGTGGAGGCGGTTGAGGCGACCACACTGTTTCTCAGGGCAGATTGTTGCACCCTGATTGAATATGAACCTTCCTGCCGTGTTCTTAAAATGGTACGATTTATTTCCTCCACAGCTTCACAACATCATCGTCCTCGTCGCTCCCCTCCCTTTCCTCCCCTCCCACTCTGACTCGTCCTTCTTCCCTCCTCCGCCTCGCTCTCCTCCGTGACATTTATTGCGTGCTGCGGGGGGGGGGACACAATGCATGGGCTGGTGGACGGTCCGACATCACAAGGTCGACTCAATCCGGGGACCCCGAAGTCCCGACCCTTTCCCCAGGGTCGACTTTCTATCCCGAACCGTCGTTTGACGGTGCAGGCCCACGCGCGCGTGGCCCCTGGAGGCCGACAACGGCAAAACCACCCCCTGGTTTTTGCTCCACTGCGCGGGCATGTCTGGGCCTGCGTATTTTACCCTTCGACCTCCCCCCCCCTTGTCCGGTAGACGGACGGACGCTCGCAAGCGTGCTGGAGCCGTGGCGCCGAGCATTCGAGGAAGGACTGGGGACACATGCTAGCAGTGCCGTGCAAGCGCGGTGCAAGATTACAGTCGGGGCCCTGAAGACGAACCCTTTTGGTTGGGGAGGGGCTCCGCGTTCCTTAAGTGTGTCACAGTTTGCCTTGGGTTTTCCTTTGGTTTTCGATGGGAAATTGAAGTTGAACTTGTGGGAAGCAGGGGCCCCGTTCCTCATTTAGGGTTCCTTAGGTCAACGCCCCGACTGTAGACGGGGAAAAGGACGGAGAGCGGACGCCAGAAGCAAGAAGCTACAGACAGCAGAGCAGGTCACGTGCTGCGAATGACCCCAGCATGTCCAATATGGGTACGGAGAATATGAGTGCGATGCCCATCAGCAAATGATGTCTAAAATCTAAAGCGGCCACTGTTGGGCAGCTGACGTTTTGTTCTAAAGGGACAACGTCCCCAACGACACTGACAGCGAATCCTGTCTTCAAAGCAAGCGGACAGGAGCTGCTGCTGGACTTCGTGCCTGTTCTTTCCGTACCCATCTTGATCGTACCGACCCTGGGGAATCCCAAAGGTACCCTTAGGTCGGGCATGTCCTCCTACAGGCGGGTTTTCGACGACAAATATATAAGTCGAAAGTGTTAAAAAATCATTTTTTTTTCAAAGTTGTGTTCCCAGACTATGTTTGGACTATTTTCGAATATTCCTCCTGTAGAGGGACACGCCCGACTTAAAGGTACCGATGCAGTCACATTCCCCGTACCTCTCACGCGGTCCGCTCTGACCGAACCGAGAGATCCAAGCGAGTTCAGCCTCGGCTGCGAGGGCCTCCCAGGAGGAGGCCCAAAAACGGGCAAACATGCGGGAACGGCAGCGGCACCAGGCCCTTCCTCCTCCTCGATGAGGCTCCCCCCCCACCCCGCCCGACGGAGTTCTTAGAAAAAGAGAACAAAAACAAAGGGCGCTCCGCGCGGACTTCTTGGATCCGCGCTGGACCCCCGTCCCTGGCGCGTGAGCGCGCCATGGGGCGTGGCCGGAGGCGCCGCCGGGGGGGCCCAGCGCGGATCCGAGAGACCCGCTCGGAGCGTCACAAGTTTATGTTTACAGTGGAGGCCTGTCCACAAGGAACCTTCCACAAGAACCCAGCCCTGGAACCCCAGGACGGCCATTGATTTCTGGTGTGGGAACGTCATGTTTCCAATCGCAAAAACATCGAAGCCCAAGAAACCCAGGGCACCCTGGAGGCCAGCAGGGTATTCCTTGGCATGGGTCCCCACTGTGTGCCGTGTTTCTCTTCTTCTTCTTCTTCTTCGACTTCTGCTCCCCTGGAGGCGCGCCGCCGCAGGATGCGCCGCAACTGCCGCACCCGACGCCCGCGCAGGAGCCGCAGCCGCCGCCGACGGGGGGCCCGTAGCCGTAGCCGGGGTGGCAGCCGGGGCGGGGCCCGCCGCCTGGGGGGGAGGAGGGGCAGCGGCGTGGCAGGAAGCAGGCGGGCCCGGGCCCCAGGGTCCGGGCATCGCAGAGCCTGTCGAGAGACATGCGGGCGCGAGGTGGTGCAATAATTTTCCTCTGCATCTTGGAAATGGAATTGAAGGGCTCCCTGTCCCAGACATCCGAGGCGAAGTGGGTATGGATATAAACATCTGCCCCCTGGAAGCTAGATTCATATCCTACATATTCCTTTATCCTATAAAATTACATCGGGAACCCCCCCATGAGATCCGGGGGGGGGGGGGCCGCGCCCACACACACCCCTCCAGGGCCCCCCAAGGAGCCCCAAGACGCACCCAAAATGGTCCAAGAGGCAGCCCAGACGGCCCACGATCGGTCCCAGACGTTCCAAGCAGTACCACAGACGGCACAAAAAGCCGCCAAGACGCTCAACGAACGCCTTCAAAGCGCTCCAAGCGGGACTTACATGGCCTCAAGAGGGCCCAAGAGATCTCATTACATCCCGGAACGCCCTCAAGAGGCCACCAACACGCCCCAAGCGGTCTCCAAAAGGCCTCCGAAGAGGGCCCCATGAGGCGAAAATCGTTGATTCTCATTGGTTTTTCAAATGTTTCTTGGCTTTCTCGCTTTTTCGGCTTTCCGACGCTCCAAGAAGGCCCGGGAGGCCCCCAAGAGAGCCCCAAGACGGCCCAAGCGGCCCCCAAGGAAGCCCCATGACGGCCCAAGAGGGCCCCAAGACGGCTCAAGAGGCACCCATGGGGGCCCCATGACGGCCCAAGAGAGCCCCAAGACGGCCCAGGAGGCCCCCAAGGGTCCCCCAAGACGGCCGAAGAGCCGCCCACGCCGGCCCAAGAGGCCCCCAAGACGGCCGATCCGAATTGGTTTTTCGGGCCCTCGGCCCCAAGAAGCCCCCAGGATGTCCCAGGAGGCCCCCAGGAGGCCCCCAAGAGGCCCCCGGAGGCCCCCAAGAGTTCTGTGGGGGAGAGTGTGCACCCGGACACAACACGCAGAATATTCCGAAAGACCCATCTGGCGTTCCTCCTCCTCCCACTCCTCCGTGAACATTTGGGCTCCAGTGGTCTCACACATGTCCACGGCAGACATGCTTCGATGTACTGTGTGCGAACAGGATTGGCCCAAGTCTGACTTCAGCACGGAACAGAGACGGCGGTCCACTAGAAAGTGCGTCCGTTGCGCGGCCAGCGCCAACCCTGCCAGCCACCAGCCTACTTTACTCTGCGCAGGCTGTGGGGACGATTTGCCCCGAGACAGCTTCAGTAGCAGACAACGGCGGAGACAGACGAAGAAATGTATCCAGTGTGTCGCCGCTGCCACGGACGCTCAGACGCCTCGGTCATCCCACGCCTTCACGTGCGTAAGCTGCGGAAACACCAAACAGACCGACGCTTTCGCCGTACGAGGCGCGGTCGCCTCTGACCCCGTCTGCGCCATTTGCATTGCCAGAGGCCGTCAGACCGCAGCCTGCGCTCAATGCGGCTTGGTCCTCCCTCATGACGACTTCGGAACCGGCCACCGCCACTTATTACTCGGAGTGTGCCGCGCTTGCACAATGCCCGGCCGACCCTCCAGCACAATACAAATTCTGTCTTTGGGCCGCAAGGACCACCAATGCTCGCACTGCGGCGCATTCCTGTTCCAACGCGAGATGAGCGGCTTCCGTTGCGGTCATGGGAAATACGTCGTCGACTTCAACAGCTACTACCCCCAGCCCGATTTCTCCTTGCTCAAGCTGTTCCAACGGACGTGGCCAGTTACCGACACGCACGGCCGGCTCGTGCACGACGACACCACCAACGCACCAAAGCTGACGGGTTTCACTGCCGATTCTCGACGTTACAACAGCTTGCTGAGCCACGCCGCCCACGAAGTCCAGAGCGCCACTCCTGAACGAGAAGTCCGATTTGGAAGCGTCTTGAGACCATCCTTCATTCGCATCCACGGCACCATGTACAGGAAAGTGTACTCGGCTGCCGACTCTGGGCCCGTCCGGCACCTCGTGGTGGACGACCGCGAACGCCGCGCTTGCGTGCGAGAGCACGGCCTCGACCTGTCCATCCTCTCCCAGCTGGAGAAGCTCATCATACCGCACAATCCGCACATGCAGCACGTTCAGCACCTCAAATCCGCGTGGCCCCGTGCCCCACAGGCTTCCGTCACCCTCCGCTGGGACGAAGGCATCCAAGAAGTGGCCGCAGTAGTGCAGCAACGCCCCGACGCCATCAACGAACCTAGGGCAGTGTGCTTCCTCTTGACGCCAGGCTCCCGCCCACAATACCTTTCACCCTTGCATTGCCTTTACGAGCCTCTGAGTAACCCGCTGTGGTTCCCATACGGCGGCCGCGGGTGGAGCACCGACGCCGTGTCCACATCCGGCAACCACGTGACGCAGATGTGGTGGTACCACCAGCACCTCCTCCGCCAGCCCCACACGCACGCGTGCGGGCGTCTGTTGAACGACTGGCTCATCAACATGCACTGCCGGATGGAGGACGAAAGGCCGTCGCTGGTCAGGAGAGAGCAAAGCACTCGCATTGCCAGCCGCAAAGATTTGTGCGAGTCTCTGGCCAACGAAAACATCCCCACCAGCGCAATTGGCACCAAGTACTACCTCCCCTCCGCTGTCCCTGGCTCCCCGCGCCATCTCAAGCGGCTCCGAGTGGACGCATTGGAACTGGCGCGCCGGAAAGGCCCCCAAACTTATTTCATCACCCTTACGTGCAACCCCCACTGGCCAGAGATCAACACTTGCCTGTCTCGCACCCTCATGCTACCCTCCCTTTTCCATTGCACTCTCCCTTCCTCCCTCTCTGTTTTCCTGTGTCATCGTCACCTTCTGCCCGCTAGTCAGCCTCCTCCCTCCCCCAATCTTCCGCGCCCCTCCTCTGCTCACCTTCTCTTTTCACATCCACCTTCATACGCTTATGCCCGACGGGGCGGCGAACGCATCCACTGGCAACATGTTGTCACCCAGCGAACAGAAGTCTATCAGAACGGCTTCCTCGGACGGCATACTTGGCATTGCTTGTGACAAAGATGTTTTGACGTGTTGGCCCATCATGCTTCCATGTCGTAACTGCATGAGCTACGCTACGTTCCACGATGTGTCGCATTTCCCCATATGCTTTTTGGATGGAAGTTGCACTTGCAAGAAACATGATCGTGACGTTTTCGTGAATGCAATCCACAAGCGCAAAACAGGTGGTCGGGACATGCACCACTGGGTTCCTGTCGAAGAGCTGCCAGACGCGTTCAACCTTGGAAACCTCACAGACAAGCTTGCCCCTCAGGTGAACCACGACTTCAGCAAACGCAAACTCAACCATTTCCATCCCATTCTGGACACTACGAGCGCCACAAAACATTACCTCATGATGTCCAACAAAACACAACCATGGATCAATTTGGCATTTTTGTCATCATGTCAACTGTTTACTTAAACGAAGGCCACTACTTGATCACCGCGCTGGCCGTGTATAGTTGGCTCGCTCATCAAAAGACGTCCCGGGCGCAGCTCCTGGGCGACGCCGCCGCCCGGGCGACACTCCAGAAACGACTTTTGGACCAGCGCAACGCCATGGCTACGGACGGAAAGTTGCCGGCTCTAATTTCGGTGGATTCCTACGACGTCCGTCGCTTCTACGACGCACTGGTTATTTGCGAAGACCTGTATGGCCGACAACCAGATGCAGGATACCACATCCCGAGCTTCACAGAAGGCGACGACAACCCCAATCTCGTGCCAAACGGACCCGGGACAAAGCCTCACAGAGTTGCTGTGCGCATGCACCACATTGCCGCTACCCTACGAGAACACAGCGCCCATTGAACAAGAACCCCGTCCTGTTGGTTCAAATGACAAAAACACTCCTTGCCACGCACGCGCATTGGCTGCCTTATCAGGCACAGCTGGTATACATGCGTTTCTTCCGGAACTCATTCGGGGCGCGCAATTGGGAGCAATCGATCATATCAGACATTTCTTTCATTGAACATGTTGGCGATGGAGATTTTCACTTCTTGCGGAAGTTGCGTCCAGAAGCTTTCTCGATTTACAACTCTTTGGCAGACAGGGGGCCCGTGGAGGCTGCCGGGGCCACCGTTGCCACGAACGTTTCTAAGGGCGAACGGGACCTCGGCCGTACGTTGATCCAACTGTTGACTTCCAGGCAGGGAAGCATGTCGTTGCATTCATAAGTGAACGAACTCCTCGGCTTCAGCGCCATGAACTTTCACGAATCGCAATACACAGTTTGTGAAGTGCGCACCTTCGTTTATGGCACACGCCTGAGGAAAACAGAGACGACGGACTCCTGGCCCACCGGCGCTGGCATCGGGAGGTCCTCCTGCCGCACGTCTGGGGCGCGGTGGCAACCGGAGACCGCAAGCGGACCCGTGAGTAGAGCAACTCCTCCAGGGCACCGACACCAAAAAAAACACCTTTTTGTTTATCCCCTCGCCCCCTGTGGAACCATGAGTTTCTGGGATCCATGAGTTCCCCCGCCACTCCTTCACTCGTGTTCTCGAACACCCCATGGGCCAAGATTTAAGGCGAAGCGGAGCGAGCCTTCAAAATCTTGTATTTGTATATGTATATATAAAAATGTTCACTGCGTTTCGGCCTTTCAGTGCCCTACGTAGAACATCCATATATAGATGCGCGTGCGTTTATATTTATACGTGATGCCCACGAACCACTAGTCTTCGCTCGAACTTCGGACCAGGAACCATCACATATCGATCGGGCTCAAGCAGTGCCGCAGGAACAGAGGGGGCCCCCGCGGGGCTCTGGTCGCGATTTCCCGCGATGTTGCAACTCTGATTGAAAAGATGGGCCCCGAGGCTTTCCCTCTGGTGTGGCTCTTCCTCCCGAGTCGCCTCTCGAGGGCCCCGGGGCCCGCGGAGGGCCCCGGGAGCCCAGACGCTGCGGGAGGCCGACAAGACCCGCCATCGGGGCCCATCGGCCGATACTAGTAGTAGT